CACATCATTCGCGTATTTCTCATGATGAATTATAGGAAAAAATCAACCTTTTCTGTATTCGATATTGATTCAGTTCCTGATCAAAATCTAATTTGGTGCAAAAATAAATTTGAAACAAAAAACAACAACAACTAGCAAATGAACTTTTCCGGTGCTAAAAATAGTACCGATTTATTGAATGTGATACATCAACAAGACCTTTACGAACTTTGTAATGATGCAAAACAACTAGTTCTTTTGGTTAAAAATAACTTTTCTAAGCTATCTGACCTACCAAAGTAAGAACCAATGTGATTTTTTTTTCTATAGACATTTTTTCTATTACGGTTTCATTAAATTTTGTGCTTAGAATAACGACACTTTTTGAACGGAAATACCTTCTCTTATTTCATCCGACGATATTTGTATGATTGGTGGATGATTGTACGTAAGTCAACCTCGAATTTAATGTGAATTCATAACCGCATTGGAAAAAAGTCGTTCAAATGATTGATTTACTGTTTGGTGCGTCAGGTGGGTATTCCGTTGTATGATCGATAAAGTGACGCATAAAATGGTTCGACTATTATCATTATTAATAACGAAATTCATTTTCCCATAGAGTTCATTTGAAACGTAACAGCAAGCAATGCCATGCCAAACCATAAGATCGTAATGAGAAAAAAAAAAAAAAAAAAAAAGAAACGAGGCGGCTCACTCAATCATAAAAGTGAGTTCACCTAAGTTCAAACGAGTTATCTCATTCCAAGTCAAATACAAAATACGCGAGAGTGAACATCGATTGTCGGATGATTTGTTGCCATTACATTATATTGTTGATTTAATTCATTCTTAGATCGATGGAGAGGTTACGAGATGAATCATTGCTCAGTGATAACAAAGACACAAGACGAACAAAGAAAAGAAGAAAAAGACTATGATGACGACAACGTTGGACGCTCTAAATTTCAATCCCAAGCGTGAAGCGATTTGTTTTCGAAATGTCAAAAATTAATTAGCATCATTACAATGTGTGTACGATATGTGCATCGAATCGGGCTTGTATTTGAAATGAATTCCTTCAACACAATAATTAACAGTTAACAGTTGAATTTTTCATCGTTTTATCATTGCTGGCGGGGAATTCACAGCAATACCAAAGAAAAAAAAAAAAAGTATAACAAAGCTGTTACAACAAAAGTATCATCTGATTTTATGCAGATTGGATTTGTGCCGTGAGCAATAGATGACGAACAAATTGGCCTCAACTATTATAAACTAATGTGTGTCCAACATATCGCATACTACGTCATCTAACAGCATCTGTTTGAACGAATTCAATGACATATTCGCTGCGTGAATGGTCGTCGGTTTCTGTTTCAATTCGGCTCTTTTCTCGTCAGAAATACAGCACATACGAAGAGAAAAAAACCATAAATCAACGATGAAAAAAAAATTAGTTGTGTGAGTAAATATAATCGAGTCTCGTGCTTTTAAAAATGTGTCGTCCATGAGGACAACGTTGTCTGTTCAGCGACAAGTTAGCTGAAGCGCGAACACCAAACGAAAGGGACATAAAGTATCATTAAGCGTAATCTCAAACAGTGCTGGCGCGTATCGCATTTGCGAAAAGGTTATTAATCCGGCAAGGTGACATCATTTTTCGATTTTTCTTCTTTACTTGGACTCAGATACTTATTTCTTTTTTGTGAATCTAATCGAAATCAGAAACCATTTACAAATTTCTCTCGCTCTTATCCAATTGGGCGACAATGACATCTAAATAATTTACATACTTTATTGATGTAAAAATTCAACGAAATAAAATATCCAATTGTAAACTGCATACCACGACTCGCGCACACATTCACACATATATTTTGTGATAAATCATTTGGAAATGTAATTGCATTTTGTGGCGGTTGGTTCTGAGTTATAATAAAAATGGGAAAATTGAAAACCGAGAATCTCGTAAACAGCTATTGACTGCTAATATGTCATCATAACATCTATGCATACATTATTCGGATTTGTTTTTTTTACATATTGACAAACCAGGTTCTAGAAGCGATAAAACTGCGACTCTTCGTAGCTTTTTTGTGGGTTAATCGGTAATTATATCTAGAATCATTATGAAAGTGCAAAAATTGATTGCTTCGTTCATTATTGATTAGCTATGGTCCAAACGAACGAAAAAAAAAAAATTTCAACAACAAAATTGTAAACTTCAACGAACATTAGTTTTAGGCTCACATTCGAACATACTCTATACACTAAATTAATTCCAAAATCCTTCAAAACATATACATTTTACAATATGCAAGCAATTTTCCACGAATTAATATCGATTTGAACGTATTATGAGCTGCACAATAAAAGTGAGAAAAAACGTATTAATGAAACCTAATATTCCATGAATATGTCTTTTGAAACGCATTTACATCGTGCAAGGACTGAAGATAATAATAAACACATGAAATAAAAAATTGTTGAAAATAATGTAATTTGTTCCATTTACTTCCATAACATGAATAATAAATTAATGGAACCATTAGGGAGAAGAAAAAAAACAAATTTCTTGCTCCTAACCTAATTAAAACGAAGAAAAAACTGAAATTCTCATTTCAAGATCAAGAATTAAATGAAAATCGTTGCGAACATTGTTTATGTGGCTTTTCGAGTCTTTGTTGCAAATTCTGTGCTGATGCTGAAATATCCAAGAGCTGTCGAAATGCAATCCAATTGAAAATGACATTCACCCCGCTAATCTGGGAACAGTTTACAAAAGAAACATTTCTAATGTAGCTATTTTAATTTGTGAAATTGGGAAATTGTTTCTTGAGTTTGAAAGGGGAAAAATTCTGTACGCTCTTGCCAATCACACATATATGCACAGAACACATACACCACAAGCATGTGCCCAAACATAATATTCGCACTCTAACACATTCGTGACCAAACGGTATAATTGTTGATGTTGACATCACTTTGCATAACCTTTTTCTAACCATTCGGTACACTAATTGCCAACCAGTTTTGTGTGTTTGAGACAATGGTGAACTCAAATACAAAATCTCTCAGCGTTGGGCTATTCAAATTATGTCGAATGTATCAATAAATGCTGATATCTGTTGAGTTTTTTTTTTCCTCTCTCTTTCTTTCTTCTCTCTTTTGAACAACAAACAAAACACTTTAAAGTGTGTTTTCTTTTCGTATGTGCAAATGTTTCTTCGCACACACATACACATAGGAACGATATTTGGGGCCTAATGTATATCTTTTTAAAGAGTATATTTAAACGTACACCTCATTTTTGTAGTGCGAACGCACAACTTGCAAGCGTACATATTATTGCTCATTCGTGTGCTAAAGATAACTTCGAAAATGAAGCAGAAAAAAAGAATGGCAACGTAATGATGGCAAAACAAAATATTTCTTTCATATATTTTTTCTTTAAATTTTTAATATTTTGCTTTTGAACCCATCTAATGTGAAAAATCTGCTATGTTTACCATACTAATCCAGCATAAACATAAGAGCGCACTTTACAATGCGCGAATATTTACGAAAAAAAAAAAAAGTTTCTTTTTTTCTCGTTAAAATTAAGAAAGAGCCATAGAAAAGTACACACGTACGAACAAAGACACCGAAAAATAAACAAACTAGTGCTGAATGGCTTATACCAACTATAACAAATATTGTGAGTAATATTTATTTATAATTGGAAAAATTATATGCTTACTCTTTGAAGGGAACAAAAATAGATGGATGTGAATGCAACAATTTCTATTCACATATTTTTTTTTTTTTTTTTTGGTGATTGCGGTGTGTCGGTTGTGTTGGACTATAAATTGTTGGTGTTGTGGTTTGTTTTTGTTTAAAATGGTCCAAGCAAAATGTCTTGTTTTCGGCGAAATGAATGAGGATCATATGACAATGTAACGGATCTCAATTTAAATTCCAATAAAATGTCGTGTAAACACAAGAGGGTGTAATGCACGTCGTCACCCATATGCACAGCACACTCAACTACTCATGTTGGCATTTCCATAATTCGCCATAATTGCTGTGCGCATTTGCATTCTAGTTTACAAACCAAGTTACAATACAATAGAGCATGTGTTTTTCATCGTGAGGTATGGGAAGCACACAAACTTGTCGTACGGAAAAATCATTAGTAATTTTACAACAAACAATACCTGTAACTGGTTGTCAGGTATAAATTGATCGTATCACCGTATCACACACCGGTGTGTGATGGTGAGTCTCTATTGAAGAAATGAGGAGGAAAAAGAAGAAAAAATGAGCAAAAATATTCTAAATCTAATAGTTCGTGCCAAATATACAATGATGCACTACGCATTTGTGAAATATTGCGTAATAATCGCACGATGATCGTATCCTTATCGTCTATTGATCAATGCGGTTTTTTTTTTCCTTAATATTGACCAATCGTTTATTTATATTTAGGTGTTAAAAGACAGGTGTTGATGGATGGGTCAAAATGCTGAATGTTGGTTTGAGGAAAAGACAGCTTCATTTCAGTCAATGTGCTAAATGATAACGCAAACATGTTCGTTAAACAAAAAATATGTTTCGGTTTGTGTTTCTTCTGGATTGGATTGTGAAAACACATTTCGGTTTCTATGGCCTTTTTTTGCAGGAAGAATTTTGGTTTGATGACGGTTTTGAATTTTGAAAATTACCAAAAAGAATGACCAACAACGAAAATACCATATCGATAAAGGACCAGTTTAAAAAGTTAGAGCTAGATCTGTGTATGTTGCTCACACGTTGATCTAGCACCAATAATTCCCAATTTGCACAGTGAGCTATTGCATACTGGAATGTTTGCGCTCTCGCATGGTGCCCATGAATGTGTGAATGTATTGAATTCAATGTGGTATACAACCGATGTGTGACGTATCACACATATGTACATATGTTGCGAACCATAACCAGTGCGGTAGTCGTTTTCGTTGAGAAGGAGTTGGTATATATAGTTTTGTATCGAACATTGAGTCATTCATTCAAATTCATAACATCGATACGATCACGTCTGATAGCATAGCATCTCTAGCGGTAACTGTTGTTATCGTTAAGAATTGTCTTTTCCACAAGCCCGGTTGGATTTTATTGTGTATTTCAACTGAGCGAAACAAAATATCAAAAAAGTGTTTATTAGACGATTCTTTTGTTGTTGGTTTTTCTTTGAACGAAAAACGAACAAAAATCCGAATTCATTCAACGTTTTCTGCAAAAGCAGTGAATTAAGTACTGAATTTTCGATCGGATTTTCAGAGAAGTGACCAGGAATATACGTTGAAAAAAGTGATTTGAAAAGAAGGAAAAGTGGAATTGAGTTGACGTTTATCTTATTCAAAATGTGCAAAGTGCCTACACGGATTACTAACTAATGTTTTACGCGTAACAATCAATTGGCATCTGAGAACTTTCTAAACGAAAAAAAATTAAACTGAACATTCAAACGATCAAATTGATCTGAAAACTATCATCTTAATAAAAATATCATCAGAGAATACCACTTAAAGGTAAGACAACTTAAAATTCTCACATTTTCAGTATTCCAAATATTAAATTATTTCGAAGCAACAAGTCCCGCAACAAACTCTTTATGGTTGAGTATAAGGCTCTTGGGGGCACTGTGATAGAACGAATGTATACTGACGTGGTAGGAGTGTGTGTGTGTGTGTGTGTGTGTGCCTGCGCCTGCGAATGAATTTCACAATTCCGGCAATTCTTGTATTTCGAGCGAAGTTGTCATCAATATGGGATCGAATGATTGTGAGAATAGCATTTGTAAATTAGGGAAGTAATCTTTGCTCCTTGCCAAGCAACCGTAATTTTGAGAGCGATACTATCGATGATATCACTGGAAATACGGTCGTAAGATCAACTCATGTTTAACTGATCACATTAGCTTTCCAATGGTTGTTCTCGTCCACTTCCTGATTATGTAATCAAATCGTTTAATACGTAACTGGAATTTCCAGAATAGCATAATCGAAATTCTTCTTTTTATTTTTTCATATGAACACGGCACAGAAAAGTTTATGCAAAACTAATCGTCTGGTCCTAGTTCAGATAAATTCTAATAATCTATTGATAGAAAACAAGTTCACATGAGACAATGATGAATTTCAGAACTTTAAATTACGCATGCTCAAGTATGTATATTAAGAATAAATAATCCAAGTGGTCAATGTATCCTAGATCATTCGATTATTGTTCTGTTGTTATTGTTGTTGTTGTAGTTTCGTTCAGGAATCCCTTTCGCACCAAAATAGACAAAACAATATTATAATAATGAAGTTATGCAAATAGACAAATGGGGATTTCTCTGAATAAATATAGTATTAGATAATCGTAAATATGAAACATTTTGACACCTAGAAATAGATTCTCCCGTTTTGTGTCAAATGCGTTGGTGACTCATAGTTAGGTGACTCAAATAATTCATAATTGAAATGTTATTTACATATATCCAAATATTTCTTTTAAAACTATCCACTTGTTACTTTGTTGTTCAAGCAAATGAAAAATGTTTGAGAATGAGAGAGGGAATTCACCTTGCAGATTGATTAAAATTATGCTAAACAGAGTTCAATATTCAAAACAATCTTTTTTTTTTTTGGTGGTGTGTATTATACATACACATTAGCGTAACACAGAAGAAAAAGAAAAAAAAAAAAGTTTCTGAAATCCCAAAAGGGCATTAATTTTTCCCACCCAATAAAAACCGCAATGTTCGCATATTCTATATTGGGTCATACGGATGTCAAATGATCGAAAGAAATTATAAAAAAGTAAAAAATGTAACCTTTATCTTTAACGCTAATGAGAAGCAATCCAAGCAAACGGAAAAAACAGATTTTTGTGTGTATTTTTTCAGGTTATGTCTTCGACATGCCATCATCATTTCACACCATTCATTAGTGTGCTGACAGCAAGCAAACAGAAACCGCTTCTGTATAGCATCATTTAAATATTCCGCAACGAACCAAAGCCCAAAGTTTTTCCGCAATTTCCAAACGTAAATAATAGTTTTCAATTTGTTGTTTTTTTTTTTTTTTGTGCAAATGCAATTCTTCACAAAGCGTTTTAAATTAAATGCCAACACATTTCACAAGCGCCTCTCTTTTGAATGACAACAACAACACATATCTCATCAAGCTAAAGAAAACCTGAGCAATGCGAGCACACAAGTGTTATGCAAAGAGTACAAGCGCACTTATTGAGTTGAACTTAAATGAATTGAAAATAAAAGAGACTTGAAATCGCATCACTGCTTATTCAAAGCAGTACAGCACAACACAACACTTCAAGGCTAAGTCTTAATCACTCTGCGTTTGTATCAACACTTTGAATTTTTCGTTATTTTCATAATAAAAAAAAAAAACCGATTACAAAGTGTGAATCTTATCAAGGTAAATGAACCACCTACCCATCGCTAACCTCTTTCAAACCGAAAATTCCGCAAAATAACAACAACCAATTTAATGAATCAGCTGTTCAATTCTTGCAACACACTCACTTTTCCAAAATGATAGACATATCATTCGATGCGGTCAATCTTTCTCTTACACATTTCACGAGTGTGCACTGTTTTCACTTTTCTTAGCCGTGATTTATAAACTATAGCACATAACGCTTAATAAGAGGAGAGTGAGAGAGGGTAACACAGAAATGATGTCCATTTCTCAATAGAACCAAGGACCATACCATATCGAAATTCCAAGCTCAAATCAACTTATCGTGCACATACAATTTCTGTAGCAATTTTAGTGTAGGCACGGCTTGAAATTTCTTTAAGCATGTTAAGAAAAAACAAATTAATACTATTACTAAACTGCCATAATTCGGTGCGAACAATGGAAGTGGCGTAAAATGATTGTTATGAATTAAAGGCTTGTATAAGGTTTTTCGGAACGCACACACAACAGAGAGGAGAAGAAGAGAAAAGCAAAGAAAAAAAAAAATAAATAAATTCGAAAAACCAGTAATCAACTTAAGTTAGGATTGGACTTGGGTAATACATGTGAACATCAACATATCACATCATATGGGTCAATTTGAAAAGATTTCGAAGCCGAAATGAAGAAAAATGTGCGTACTTTTATATTTTTACAATTGTACTAATAAACCAGTATAGTGCCGTTTTCGTGTTTTTTTTTCAATATATTGAATCGTTTGTGTGTTTTTGTTATAATTTGGTTTTCGTTTGTGCTCTTCGGTGAATCTTCGTGTGTTAATTTCTTTTATTTTTCATGTTCGTGTACGCATATAGTATTCTGTATTTTCTATGACCTTTCGACCAAAGAAAAAAACTTTTTCGCTTGTAACTACTGATAATTCATTACAAAGTTCATACGTACAGCAAACACATTTCGAAACGCGTGTTCGATTCGCATGGTATTGATGATTCAATGGCATCAAATCGATTCCAAACCGAATAGATATTGATCGTACGTTGCGCACAACTATAAAATACACCGCTTTTTGTCTTGTGATCAGCGCATCGCGCTGTTAAACTTGCGTAATAAATTTGCCTTATCACCAGAATGCGGAACTGGTGAAGCTTGACTCACATGTCGTGTGCATTCAAACGTGCCAATGTTTGGCATTAGAAACGTCTTTTTTTCTCTTTGGGAAATCTCTGTGGTGGCTATGAGCTGTTCGTTCACTTCATCACCTTGATGAATCAAAGTCGATGTCGATTAAAGATTTGAAATGGACTATACACGCGAACCACATCATACATGAATTTTTAATAGGGCGCTCCATTGATTCAGTTGACTAATGACTTCGAAAACACAATGAAACTAAAAGAGAGGGAAAAGAAAAACAAGAAAGCAAACACAAAAAAACTAATGGGATATACACACTTTGGTTCGTGTTAGAAGACAACATGCGTTTGGTTGTCGTTGTCGTTGTCGGCTTTAATCTGTTGCCTTTGTTACTGTGTGCAAGCTGTGTATTGTTGGCGATAACACGCAACGGTGCTCAAACGTAGCTAACCGGACGCCGAAATCAACAACGATCTCCCCATCTTAAAAGCGAACTCATTCAATGAATCTTGAATAAAGTTGAACATTCTCGGTTAAAATTTTCAAGATTATAAAATGCTAATATAAACCGGCTATTATACCAACATAAATCAATAGAGTTCAACCATTAGGCAAAATCCGTAATCATAATCTTAAGGTTATTTCCGAAAAAAGCGCTATTGGTAGCATTTGGAATGTTTAGTGCGTTTCAAATGAGTAAAACATCAATAAAAATGTTATTCTGCAAAATTTGCGACCACATAATCCATCACAAATGCTAAATAGGAAAGTGATAAAACCAGACCGATCGAACGAATGGAAAAATGATTTCGGCATGAAATAAAAGAAATGTATGTGAACGTGCGTGTGAATGAACCAAGAAGCACTTGGTTTCGATCTAAATCGTATTCGCGAAAAGTCATTGCCTCATATACAAAAATGCCAACACGATACATAATTTTTTAGAAAAAAAAATGAGGTAAACAGTTTGCCTCTTGTATAAATGTGCCAATTTTTTGTTCTCCTCTCTTGTTCTCATATTCGACGCGTGACCAAAACTCGTTTATGCGGCAGTTATCAGTTTTATTGTCTGGTTGAATCTTTTCTTTCTCTCTCAGTCTGTCGAATGGATTCGAAACTCAAATTTTAATCTCGTCTGAAATGACTCTTCTTCATTACGATTCCACTTTGAATGCGAAATAAGCGCTATCGCATACATTTCATTGGTCGAGTAAAGGAGAGAGAGAGAGAGAGAGAGAGAGAGAGAGAAAGAGAGATAGTCAAAAAAGTAGAAAAGAATCATCGGTTATGTTCGATAGGAAAAGCTGTGTGCAAACTGGTTTCATTTCACATTTGAGCAACTGTGATAAATTATCAGATATGGCCGTACGAAATTCGCTCGATATCGACGTTTCACGGAAATCTTCTCCGAAATTTGATCGTATACCAAGAAAATGGATTGTGTTCGGTGAAAGTTTCCGCGGAATTATTCGAATCGATTGAACGAATCACAAAACATGTTTCGCACACATACAATGGCACGCTTTTACCAAGCCTGAAAAAAATGTGATTGTCATTGAACTTAACCGAAATTCAAAATGTTCAATGGTGTTACTTGCGATGCAATTTATTATGTTCACCCCAAGGTCAATGTGCTAGGCTCAATGAATAGAAAAGTCCAAGAGCAAGAATTAGAAAAGAAAACCAGTAACTTTGGTGCGACTTCGGCTACCTATATCCATCAAACTCTGATACAATCGAAACATACCTCAGTCGCTTTGGCGCGCACCGAAATACAAATGAAGCGGGGAAAAAAAAAACTGTCGTGTGTTTCTTTATAACATAATCAATTTTAAATCACATAATTCTAAACACAACACTTTGACCTCAAAGAATCACTTAAACGTGTATATCATTAAAAGCGTTTCGTATAGTATAGCATACTTTGACATTTACAATCAAATGGTAGTTGCTGTGCTTTTTTACCGTTGGCATTTGGCGAGGCTTGGAGACAAGCTTTTGTTGTTGTTTATATCGATTTTTTTTGTCGTTGTAGAAGATTTCGCAGAAAAGCTTATACAATACCTCAACTCGTTTGGATTGTAATATTTTCCGTCTCCTTTTGTTTTAGCAATTAAAAATGGCAATTGAATCAGAAGCTTTTGATGCCTCGATCCGTCGACGTAAACTTGGAAATCTATCAAATCAGTCATCCTCATCCGATTTACTGAATAACAACAACAACAACAACAATAACAATGAAAAGTTCTCCGACTGCATCGACTCGGATGTTGAGAAAGATTTTGATGCAGACGTTTCGACATTGGGTCCAGCTGTAAAGGAAATTCTCGAGGAAACCACAGTTTTACCACATGACGAAGCACTCGATAAACTTAAAGAAGTCGGAGCAAAAACACCCATTCTGCCATCGGAGATCGGCACAGATTTTAACTTCAAGCGACAAATCGTTTGGGAAAATGCCATCGGTTTCCTGATCCTACACATTTGCGCACTCGTCGGTATTTTCATGACATTGTTAGGATATGTACGTGTATACTCAATCGTTTACAGTAAGTACATATTGTTGACCATTTCACTTGTGTATCGTATTTACGCCAAAAATTTTGTGTTTTCACTCGTTCGATGCGAAATTAATTGCTTTGTTTTTTTTTTTTATCTCATCCGCAATAGCATTCATATTGATGTATGGATCCGGATTGGGTGTCACAATGGGAGCTCATCGTCTTTGGTCACATCGATCATTCAAAGCAAAAACTCCATTAAAAATATTCCTCTTGTGGCTTCACACATTGGCTGGACAGGTAAGATACAAATTCCAAGAATTTACTGCTTGGCGTAAAATAAATGAAACACTATTTTTTAGTTCGGAAATCATTTCAAATCCAACCTTATTCCTAATGACAAATTATTTCTTTCAATTTAAATAGAACTGCTTGTATGTATGGGTTCGTGATCACCGTCAGCACCACAAATATTCCGACACAGACGCAGATCCTCATAATGCAAATCGTGGATTTTTCTTCAGCCATGTCGGCTGGTTGATGTCAAAGAAGCATCCAAAAGTATTGGAATACGGAAAGAAAATCGATATGTCAGACTTGGAAGCCGACAAATACATTATGTTCCAAAAAGAGTAAGTATCGTCTGGTTCAGTTAATCGTCTGGCTTAAATGATTGTATATGTATGACGAACATTTGCGTGTGTCGATTTATATTCGAATAACTAAATCGTTAACAAATATCTAATATTTTTCCATTGTTTTCTCCCAAATCTAATTGTTCAGACATTACAAATTGCTTTACACCATTTTTGCTTTGCTCTTGCCAACATCAATTCCAATTCTTTGCTGGAATGAAGATCCAATCGTGGCATTGTTTTCGTGCTTCTTCTCCAGAGCCGTTATTTCATTGAATTGCACGTGGTTGGTTAATTCAGCAGCTCATTTGTACGGTACCCGTCCATTCGATAAAACACTTTTCCCCGTTGAAAACTTGGTTGTTGCGTTCTTTGCTGTTGGTGAAGGATGGTAAGTTTTGTATTAGATATCAATTGGAAAACAAAAAATCAATAACAATTGTTTCATATTAATAGGCACAATTATCATCATGCATTCCCATGGGACTATCGTGCATCAGAGCTTGGATCACCATTGAATATCACTGGATTTTTAATCGATGTTCTGGCCAATTTCGGTTTGATTTTTGACCGTCGTGAAGCGTCCAACAATATGATTAAGAATCGTTGCATGCGAACTGGCGATAATTCACACAAAGTGTACGGCACCGATGAAGGTCGACGAGCAATCACAACACTGTTCAACATCTGGAAACATCCATCGAATCCAACATACAACTCAATTTTCGCACCAAAACCGAAAATTATCAACTCCGAAGGTTATGCGCTTATCGAGGATGAACTATCGAAAAATGAAAAAGATGAAGAATTGTTGTCACGTGAAAATGAAGAGCTTGAGGAGCGTCAACGCCGTGTATCACAAATTGAGAATGTTCTTGAGAATGCTGGAAAAATCAAAAAATACATTGTTGAAAAATCAGAAGCCGAAAAGATCATCGGTACCATTAGCGATGCAAGTGACAAGGCAATCAAACAGTTGAACAATAATAATGATACCGAGTTCAAACCATTGATGAGTTCATTGTCAGACAAAAGTAAATTAAACATTGTTGATGCTGATAGTGCTCTTTTTGCAAAAATTTAAAAAAAAAAAAAAAACGATTCCATCCAATCGCGTGATTGGAAAAACTCTTTTTTTCTATTTTACTTGGACAAATCTTACAACAACTAATGAAGTTGAATGAAAAGTAAAATAAAAATTAGAAAAAAAAAACAGAGAAAAAGCTTTGCACGCTTTGACTGCGTAAACATTTAGAATGAGGACCAAATATCAGTTTTGTCTTCATGGTGAAACAAAAAAAAAATTCAATTTTTATGAACTTATTGGCTTCGTAGCACTTAAATTGTTTTTAAGACAAATTTGTTAATTTTTAGTGAAAAAAAAAAAAACAATTACAAAATGTGAGTGATACCGTTCTAATGTTTAATTTTCTATTAGTTCTTGGCCTTTGCTTTGGTAGAATCAATCCGAGGCCAGCTGTCAGAATAAGTTTGAATAAAATAGATTTAAGATTGATACAATCGCAATCGATTGTGTATATTTTTTTTTTGTAATTAATTAATAAACTAATGAATTTAAATAAAGAATAGTTTTTCTTCGTACAAGTAATTTTTGAACTTTGGTCTCGCTTTCACACAATTTCTCCACTTAAAATCAAATTGTCTGCGCAAAACATTTTCATTAACGTTGACCCATTGCCGATTTCATTTGTACTCTGCACCATGAAATTATACTTTACCCATCCACGTCTTTACCGTTACGTATAATTCCAAATTTATTGAAATGACATTAAATTTAGATGCTTTTATTCAGATTGCGAAAAAAATCCTTTGCAAAACAATGTTGTTATTATTTATAGCCAACCTACAATCAGACATCAAAATATTCAACAGTTTTTTTCTTCTTTACTATGTTTGGACTACAAAAAAATGCCATTCACCGATATAGTGAAGATGTGTGTGTTAAATTACATCGCATTTTGTGTTTTTAATTCAACATAAAATTATGCAGCAAATCTAGTTCAGTCAAGTGGTTATGAAGTAGGAAATCAAGTTGTTATGAACGTTTATTTTGGGCTATTCACCAGAAATATATATCATCCATATATATATACATACGAGAGAAAAATGTCCATGATGGCATTGTGTGCCTTGGCGAAAAAGTATAAATATCATCATTTTTTAATGAAAAAACTTATTGCTGCAGATTTGTGTTGTGAATTCTTTAAATAAGAAACACTAAAAATATTCATTGAATTTAACATTCAGTGATATATTTCTTAATTATGAGACACTGAATTATATATTTTTACTTTTCAAAGATTTCGGTTTTCAGCTTCGTTCTTTTTCTTCTTCTTCCTATGACTTCGTATGTGTGTCAAAAAATGTGTTATCCAGAACGATTCGAAACCGCTATTCGATCTTTGGTCACTCTCTTTTTCACTCATCAAAATGCAAGCGATTTAATTCGAGACCAAAGATCGACCACAACAAATGTCAAGATAAGAAAATACTGTCAAGTGTAAAAGAATAAAAAATTCATATTTTAATGTTAACAGAATGAAAACACATAAATTTCGGATCTTCATTAACAATACGTACTTTATTGTTATTGATTTTTTTTTTTATCCATTGGTAGAGTGTGAGCAATTCCAAGCGAATTGCTCGGTGATTTGATCTTCAAAAAATCCCTCGAGAATCAGTAACGAGACGATATTTTTTGATTCACAATTGACAATCCCAGAGCATAACGGAAAATCGAATGCAATCGAAAGAAAATGTCACACTTTTCATCTCAAGATCTAACAAATCTTCTACATAAGAAATGTTTGGTTACAATGTGATTCCTCTTCTGCGCAGTAAAATGTATTTTATTTACGCTCTGTGGTTGACATCTATATTTGGATACAACTACCGAATATTTTAGAATTTCAGCACTAATTTCAATGGAATTTTTTTTCTGGTTTTGTTTTTTTTTTACGTTTTTGGAAGAAATATACTATGGGAAAGTGCGAGTTTCGTATAATAAATTTGTAAAATCATTTGATGCATTACTTGTTTTTTTTTCAATTCGAAAATTTTCTTTTTACTCAAATGAGTAGATTGAATCACTATATTTATATAAATACGGGAATGTTTATGTAACGCAATTTAGTCATTTTTAACGTTAAAAGATGTAACGTTTTTAGTCTTTTTTCCGTCAAAATCGACTGAAATTTCAGTGTAAACCAACTGTATGAATATTCGGAACGCTACCCAGCATCTTTCAAATTCAAACATTTGAAATGACAACCATTCCAAACAACTCTGTGCCGAACGAACTGAATAAAAAATCTTACAAGAATTCGATTTGTGTATTGATTTCGTTTTGGGCGCGTGAATTAGAAAGAAACAGCAGAACCGACACATCTGTTCTATTTCACACAACGAAACACAACACAACAGACTCATTCGCTACTGTGGCTTGGTGTTGTATTTGTTTATTTTGGTTCCGTTATGAGATTATATTTTGCATGAGTTTCTGCATCGACACCAGTCAAATCCGAATTTCGCTACGAAAATTAGCGCGTTGAAGAAAGTTGTGAAATTCAGCTTGATGTGTCAAACTGATGCCGGTTGCACATTCATATTGATCTGAGCATTTGAAAAGGCAAGTCATTTGTTGTGCATACTGTTCGATTCACAGTGATTGTTTTTTTTTCTTTTTTTTTTCAAATTAAGTAATTTAGTCAATGTTTTTAGGTAGAAAATACATCATATCTGATTAATTTTCCTCATTTTTTTTCTGTTTTTTTTCTTGCTCCTGAATTACAGATGGGCTACCAGCGCAAAAAATCAAGGAAGAAGCCGAAGCCAATTGTGATGCTTGAGGACGTGATTAAGGAGGACAAAGGTGAAAATGAAAAAGATTCGGGCATAAGAACCATCAAAACGCAGTTGCGTGCCATTCTTCGGCCGGAATACCGTGACTTGTTGATTGCAGCCATCACCGACAAATCAATAATGGCAACGAAAATTTGCGAACTTGCCTCGCAGTTGTTCCTTTGCCGTTGTGAGCGCGCATTCGACGACAATGACAAAGCATTTTTTGAGCTGGATGGCGAACAGGTGTCCTGGAGGATTACATCTACACGAACGATATGTCGCTGGAATTTCGTGAAATGGTGCACCAGCTGGCCATCGAGTGGTTTGGCCCAACGCGAAAAATTTCGGCAATGCGATGAATGATTTAATAGATCCGTACGTAACGAACACTAAAAACAGTTTGAAGACGCATAGCAAGAAACGCCTGCGCGAATGGCTGCGGGTAAAAGTGTTCAAATCTTCGTTGGTTGTTCGATACGAAGAGGCCGACATCAACCGTGTGATTAGTTTGGCAATTTATGGCAATGACGATATTGAAATCAATGGCATGGATGATGTTGCCAAACGTGAGCACGGCGTACCTTGTTGATTGAAATGGTCACGAAGAACAGTTGGTGGGACATACCAAACAACAACATCGGCCGATTCACAAATGGGAAGAACTGGTTCAAGAGCATCGCATTCTGGATTTCCCTCCAGCGGAAAATTGATGATTTCAACACCTGCGAGGAATATCGTGAAGTACGCCGATGCCAACGCAAAGAGTTTCAAGAGCTGAAACGATGCCGACGTCAAAATCGCCGTCCGTGCACTTGCCAGCAGCAACGGTCCTATTCTTTTTGACTTTGACAACTGATATTGAGCGCAAACACCACCTAGATAATCTAAGGCTAATGACAATACAATCAAGTGTCTCCGTTCTGTCAAACGTCATACTGAAGTATAACGAATACAGACATAACGAATTCGCCATCGGTTCTTTAGATGGCGCTTCGGTCAACCGAGTTCCAACCAAATACATGTATCAGTATACAAAGCATTCCACGTTTGGCCAGCAGCCGACAGATCGAGGCCAAAATGGAAATGAGTACATTGAGAAAGGGCCACCGAGAGTGAAAAATCTGGAAGTGATTCCCATTTGCAGTTTCACTCGTACCCACTATCCGTTATACAATAAGACATTGTACTCTTTGTTGTGTGGACTTAAAATCGCACCGAAAAAGCAAGGCAAATACAACGAAATCAACATCACAGAGGACGAGATCAGAACCAGGGATCAATACTTTGATATGCGGAAAATCTGTCGGCTCGGTCGCAGTAGAAAAAAGTTCCGTTTTCGAATTCTCTCAAATGGACAAGCCGTATCGCTACAATTTAATATTGACAAAACGAAAATGAGCAACAATGAATCGGACAAAAAGGCCATTGTTCAAAACTACAAAATGTTTGTCAATGAAGGTGGAACTGATCCGGGTATGAATACGTGGAACGCAACAACGGTACATAACATTGAAACTGGCAAAGAGGTAAACAATATGAAGCGTGCATTGTTCATTTGATAAACCGAAGTTATGCCATTGTCATTGTCATTTTTATCTAAACGGTTTTCTTTGTTCTGTTTTGTTTCGTTTCTTAGACGAACTACACGATCAGCAGCAAACAGTATCATTACTGGAGGAAGCAAACGGTTCGAAATCGACAGGGAAAGCGGTGGACCAAAGATTTTGTCAAGGAAGAGAGGCGGGATCGTAAAAATCGTGCACTCTATCCGGTGATGCCATCGCCATTGGGTAGGCACTGGGAGTAGTACATTCGGCATCGACTCAAAATGACGGAACGTGGCATTGCCGTATATACGACAGACAAATACACGAGTCTGAATTTCGACAAGTACGTTCGAGCAAACAGTGTGACCGATAGCATAGCCGGAATGTTGACCAACCATCAGCCATCACTCATGCGTTTCAGAGCTGCTCAAATGTCGCTCAGTTCCCCCATCGGCATCAAAAAGACACTGCGTTGCCCGGGAAATCGGAAAATGATACGAAGCTACGAAAAGTGTCCTGGTTGTGTGGTTAATATGGTCGACGAGTATTACACTTCACAAACATGCGCCAAGTGCTTTGGCCGTTTTGATCGACGCACGAAACGACATCGGTTCAAAGTCAGCCATGATTGTCGACCGGATGAAGGTGCAATGCTGCCAACAATGATCGTGTGCAAGGTCAACAAACGAAAGATGAGGCAAGAGAAGCTGAAATTGTTTTTGCTCGAGAAAGAAGTGGAAGAGGGCAACGGAAATCCAGCGGTTGGCAATGATGTCCCACATCCAGATCAACTAAACCCAGATTTACTCCCAAAAGTGGCAATCTACCATAAAACATGGCAAGTAAATGGGCTTGGAAATTTGGAATACGTGAAATTCAATTCAGCCGGTGAGATGGAAGTTGTCGAGCCACGAGTACAAAAGACGAAATGGCATCGTGACATAGCCGCTGCAAAATGTATCCTGATCAAAGGTAAGTGCTCGTAATATATTGATTGAATTGCATGTGATGTGAGGTGCAGTGCTTTATTTATAGATCATTCATTGTTTTCTTGTATGATTTTCAAGGACACTTTGACTTGTTTGGGTACACATTACCCGAAACATTGCAGAGGCCATCCAACCAGCGAGCTGCTGTCAACAACTAACCAGCATCATGCATCGTCGTTCACGCCATTCACATTGAATAATTTAAAAATTAAAATATAAAATTATGTTATTTCCGCTATGCCTGATTGTTGTGGTATAGTAGGCGTACATACTTAACTAAGGAGGCCAGAAGTACCCATATATGTAAGTAAATGATTTGTTTTTCAATTGAAATAAGAGTATTGAATGTATTGAATGTATTGATGCTAATTTTATGCAATTCTTTCTCCATTCATTCCATGCACAATTGGATCACTATGACGGTTACTTCTACGGTTAAATCTATCCCCGTATTCAACCTTGGAAATGTGCCTGGAATCGGATGTATTTTGAGTGATAATTGTTAGATGGGTAAATACGGGAAGTTTGTGTTTCTAATGCTAACGTTGCGTTATGTCATCAATGACGCAAACACAACGTATGTGAAATCACAAAATCTTTGTCTCTTAGCACGTTTAATCTGTTTTTTTTTTTTTTGTAAATTTTATTCGACGAGTTTTCTTCGAATTCGCCAAGAAGACACATCGTTGGCACGGAACATGGTCAATGCCCAACGAAGGGGGATAATTGTATTCAACTGGTGAATCTGCTCCACTCATTAACCCTTTGATGCACAATTTTTTGTTTTTGAATCATTTTGATATATGTTTTGTGCCACGATAAATAGAGAAAAATCTCATACTTAGATTTTTGAAAAATTGCGTATTTGTCGAGAAAATCGGAAAAGAGTCAAAAGTGTCAAATCACTATAAAAGCTTGAAAAAATTAAATTTTATAAAACTAATGATGCAGAAAGTTAAATTGATGTGTTTTGGTCCTACGAGTCCTAATTTGACAATTGAAAAGAATGAACAAACCCACAAGATAAGAGGAGGAAAAATGTGTAATTCTGCTATAATTTCGCATTTTTTTTTACAGCAGTACATGAACAGAAAAAACTTTCCATTCAGCCAGCCGATTGTAGCCTGTAAAGTATCAAATGAAAGCTAGTTCATTTCCCTACATTTGTTTCCAAACAAGAATGTAAAAATATTTAGTGGTTTCATAGCTATAGCGTCTGGCGTATCTGGTTACTTCAGAAACCGAAATGTGATAAAGGGTTAAACTAAACACCGAGTCTAGTAGACAAACATTCTAATGTATGCATATATGTTTCGACTTTCATTTTCAAAGCGAACGACTGATAAAAGAAAACTCCGAAAAAATAAAATAAAACCATAAACCAGTAGTCAATCACAACGACTGCTTCTGTGACTTGGTCTTGAACACAACATATTTCAATGCTACACATGGTATGGCTTGTGTTTACGTCATTCATGACACGAAACGCTCCGTTAACTTTGACTAATTGATCGAAAATTCGATAAATACTCATTTCTTTTATCTAATAATAAATTTTGATATTAATTATAATTATATGCATTTATGCACAGGTACATACAGAACTACTTTGATTATTTTTTTCAAGACGAATAAATTTATCAAATTGTTTTTTTTTTTCAATTTTTTTTTCTTTCTAAGTTTTCGAAAGAAGAATGCAACGAAAAAAGGCAAAAGATATATTTTCAAATTTTGAGAACGATAGAAAATTGTTTTTTTTTTTCTTCTTGGTTTTGTTTTTGGAAAACGGTCTTTGGATGAAAATGTGAAGGAACTTGGTCAAATCCACAAAAACAAAGCCATATTTGGATTCAAATCTTTGTTTCAATTACCATGACCTGTTCTTCTTCTTTTGTACATGATGAATTCAATGAGGTATAATGGTCATTAATGGAGTATATATAATGTATCTTTTTCTTCTATTTTTTTTTTCTTTTTCAATTCGTAAATTGTTTCTTCTTTTTGTTTTCTCACTGAAATTTTGTGAAATATAAGTTTTCTTCTAATCAGCTAGTATCATTCTAATCTAAATGACAGTGTCCATATCAACTAGAATGCAACTACTTTTTGATTGCTGGACGTGATACTTTGAGCACGAGTCGGCTTTGCGATGATTTGATCAAAAGTATGCAGTCAATGAAACTGGCGTTGCGAACATTTTCACCGTTTATACTCGTTATCATATCACCCACCATTAATCGATTATCAAAAGCAGTTGGACTTCCGGCGACCTATTGAAAAATGAACGGATGAGAGAGAGCGAGAGTGAGAGAGAGAGAGAGAGAGAGAGATTTAGCAAACGTAAAAACAAATTTAGTAAACGAAACAAACGTACGATATCAGTGACTAATATGCCGTGGTTCTGGCATTCAATAAAATTGAATCCGATTTCTTTGCCAGCCTTTTTCGCAATTTCGACATCCATTTCGTTGACTGGAGGTGGATCATTGCGAATAACCATCAATTTCGCCTTCGGGAAAATTTGTAAAGAATTAAATAAATCAAATAAGAAAAAAAAAAGAATCTCTCAAAATTTTTGCACACTTACCACCAAATACCGTCGTTTAAATACTTTTTTGAGATCGCCGTACGACATATCAGCTGTGATTTTTTTGCCTTCAACTTCAGTAACCTTATCGAATATCTGAAGTCTTTTATCAAGATTGGCAGCACCGTTTGGATAAATATACACTATATATGCACCATCCTGTGAATATGGGTGTGACGTCAAACCAAAATGTGTGAGACAGAATATAAATATGCACTCGGATGTATATATAGCCTTAATAAAGATTAATACTTACAACTGGTGGTGTAAGCATTTTACCGCCGGCTACAAATAAGCCGAGCCCTTTGTTGTTGGCATTTATTTCGATGATGGATTCCTTATTCGATACAATTTTTGCTGTGGATGGGTCAGCTGGTGGACCGTCATCTTTAATCTTCCCCGATTTTTCGGTACCGTCTGCCAAAAGAAGAATCAGAATGAACGATGGATTTAATTGTGGTTTTTGTTGTTGTTGTAAGAAATGCTGAATCAAACGGAAATAAAATGCATCACAAAGCCTGCATTACGTAAAAGGATTAAGCCTTTGGAGTTTCACTCTGCAGGTGTCAATACTTATATCAATGTATTTTCTTATTATTTCCCACCTTTTTTCTCTGATTTTGGCGTCTTGGTTGCTTCATCCTTCTTTTCGTCTTTATTATCATCTTTTTTATTCGGATTGCACACGATGAGTGTCACGATACCTTCGGCACGTTTCAATAGAGCTGCCGCCTAAACGGATTTAAATTTTGTCATAAGTGGAACGGATTAGTTAGAAAAATTGTGTTCAGATCATTTTTTTTTTGCGCAGCAGATTGAATCACAATGCATACCGAGTCATAGTTGCAATCGACCAAAAGATCTTTGTTAACGGCTAAAATCATTTCTCCAATCAATAATCCAGCCTACGAAATATATATCGCATATCAGTTGTGTATTTAACGGTTAATTGCTTGCAAAACTTACTTTATCGGCATTTGAACCATCCTGAATATCCGAAATAAAAATACCTTGACCCAATTCCGAATGTTTCCCTTCAATAATCATTATTCCAAGACTTGGTCCATTCTAATGAAGAGCCAAAATTAAATGTAATTAATACGATATGAAATTCGAGTGAAAATCTAAATATGGTGCTGGCCTGACCTTTTGAATGCTCACAGTGCGCACATTCTTATAACACGAGTGCAAATGATCGAGTTGATCGAAGGCGACAGGGAAATTAGTAACTGCTTTCACAGCTATAATATCCAAAGCGGATTCTTTGCGTAGAACAATAAATTCGAGTGTAGTGCCTGGTATTCCTTTGATTAAAACAGACGCATTCAAATGACACATTTTGTGTACAACGTGTCCGTTAATCTAAAATTCAAATCATTTGAACCAAACAAAATCTTATCACTGTTATCACTGTCCATTGGTTGGTTGCAAACAAAAAGCAATTACCTCTAAAATTTCGTCTCCAACTTGAAGATTCTTTGCGCTGGCCGCACCTTTGGGATTCAAACCAGCTATAAAACAGCCCATTTCGTTCCGGTTTCGATGACCGGCCAATGCAATTCCCATGTTGTTGTTCGATCGATTGACCTGAACGCGCACAACGTTTCCCAAGTTACCGTAACGTTTTTTGATTTTTCCTAGACAATACGATTGTATTCAAAGCGAACAAAAATACAGATAAACAATTGGATTCTTTGTGAAAATATTCCCAAGCGAAAGAGAACGATTTGGCTCTATCGTGACGATACATTTCATCGTGGAATAGCGGCCAGCGCATGTACACAACACTTCTCCTTTCTCACTGCTGCTATGTTAAACATAGTATGCTGTTCACGCACATCGATACATGACTGTAGCTCCAGGGCGCACGCATACAGTCATGTATCGGTGTGCGTGAACCGTTTACTATGTTTAACATAGCAGCAGTGAGAAAGGAGAAGTGTTGTGTACATGCGCTGGCCGCTATTCCACGATGAAATATATCGTCACGATAGAGCCAAATCGTTCTCTTTCGCTTGGGTTACATTCAATTTGAAAATATCTTGTACTCACTGTCTGTATATCCAAATTCATTTTCCGGTTCTTCGTCAGTTTTAGCTTCTTCTTTGGAGCGTTTGGTGTTGCCGGCCGATTTTCGATCAATTTCTCTACCGGCTTTGGTTACCACTTTGCCCAAAGAATCCTCCTCCTCAGAATCATCATCGTTCGATGACTCGCCTTCACTACTTTTCGTTGTAGTTGACTTTTGTACATCGTTATCTGATGGGATGTAAATTATATATGTATGTGTGCTGTGTTTCATTTGCATTTTGAAGCTAAATGTGCGCTGACATTATTGCACTTACTCTGTTTTGATGTTTCGTAAGGCGCTTTCTCATTATTTACATCTACTGATTTATTCATTGTCGTCTTATTTGGTATGTTCTACACGATGCCAAAATAAACAGAATCAAAGAGTCGTTATTACAAGTCGTTGATCATTATAAGGCCGACGAGAATATTTAACATGAATTATATTACCGATAAATCAAAGCTTTGTATATCTAATTTGATGGTGCAGCCGGCATTTTTAATTAAGTTTATTGCTTGTTCTTGTGTTGCTTTACGCACATCATTATCATTTACAGCTAAAATTCTATCACCAACCTTGTGCAAAAGTTTGTAAGAAAAATTGATCGTTTAATCATCGCCATTTGTTGAAATTAAACCAAACCGACCACTTTTCATCTCGATACATACTTTTATCTGCTTACATAATTCGGCCGGACTTGATTTGATAATATTTTTAATGAAAATTCCTGAAATTTGCTGCGCATCATTGGATATATTGACCTAAATTTGTCATTGCATATGGTTTGCAAGCGAGAAAAAAATGTAGGAGAAAAATTGAAAGAGAAAAAAACAAACACACAATTTTATCCGTTTGAATCGGTTTGAAATTGGATCACATCCAAAAGCAGTTTTCCCGTGTCCGATCTGAATGTGCATATGTGCAGTGTGCAGAAAACGGAGAAAAACTTTATTGGATGTGACCCATTAGTTTTGTGTTGGCATAAAAGTGAAATCATATGAATGATATAGAGATATATGTGTTTTGATACCGTTCCGCCAACAATGCATACGCCAAATGATGCTCCCAATTCTCTTTTTAATTCCACTTGTACCCTTTTTCCCCAGCCGATTTCTAATTATGTCCATGAGTAGTGTTACAAATTTAATGCGATTAGTCGTTAGTTCAATGACTGGTCATTAGTTTATTTAATTTTAGAATAATTTTTTTTTTATGTATATGCAAATTGAACAACGACAACACCAACAACAACAACAACAACAACAAAATACCACAGTGAATATGTATTCAAAGTAGTTTTCATTATGCTTTACCTTCATTTTCGTCAAAAGTTTTTTCGTTTGTTCGTGTGACTGTCATACTGCATCTGAAAAAATAAACACGTGTACCAAAAATATTATTACAAATGGCGTGTGAAAAAGTGCATTTTCCAATTGGCAACAAACGTCTGGATGAAGCCCACACACATACACACACTCTCTCTCTCTCTCTCTCTCTCTTTCTCTCTCTCTCTCTTTCCCTCTCTCTCTATCCCTCCATTTTTAAATAAATCATGAAATAAACTGAAATGGTGGAATCGACTATTTAAAGCTATTTGATCCTAGTGAGACAACGTCGAAAACGCTCATTACATATACACACATTTGCTTCCGTGAATAATAAATTCACGCGATTTTCTCACAAAGGAAAATTGATTTTCTGCTTATTGTCTTTTTTGCAGCTTTCGAAGAAGAAGAAAACGTGTCCAAATTGAGCGCAAATTCAAGGTTGAGGATTTGAACTGAACAGAATTCGAACATATTGGCAACATCACGTTTGTTTCTTCTTCGTTTGTCGAATTCTGTCGTCGTTTCATTTATCGATCTGATATATTTTATGTGCCGTTGGCCACTGCTAAATCATGTCAAAATTTGATGTTGAAATTCAATTTTTTCCCAATGATTTTTCCCTCAATCTTTTTTATCAATTAGATTTTGATTAAATTTTCGACCAATTTGACCATGTTTTCAATAAAACTCCCATTTTTCAAGCGAACTTGTTCCGTCCGTCAACGAAATGAAGAAAAAAAATATCATGCCGCATTAATGTTAAACGACATTAGATATCTTGTTTGAATACAACATTTTTCGACAGACAGAGAAGAATCAAAGAAACATTGATCGATTATTGAGAAAAAACAACTGATTCCTATAACGTAAAAACCCTCAATATAATATTGATATGCTCACAAATAGTTAGAACGATATTTATTCCATTTCGTTTCTATTCGATCTAAGTTCTTCGTCGAAATTTTGAATATGATGACCTAAAGTGGATCCTCGACTATTCCGTTATTATTTTATTCTACATGCTTTGCGGGTTTTGTTCATGGTTTTTGGGGAATTTTGATCTTTTCCGACCGGATTTGACTGAGTTTAGTGGACATGATTGAGTTGAAGGAACTTGTTTTCTGTTTCTCTCTTAAAAACAAGTTAAACACCAATGTGTTATTCTATCGACATTTTCGATGAGCGGCTCAGTTTTCTATTTTATCTATGTAAAGTGAAGCATATTTTATATGATGAAGAAATGAAGTGTTAGCATGTGAGAAATTCATCCAATTGCGTATAATTTGAGGAAAACAGATAAAATGCTTGATGGTTATTTTCACACATTTTGTGGGTGGCTTAGCTTGAAAATTGGAATCATGTGACTATCGATTTATTCGAACGATGTTCCGCTTATAAATATATTTTGAAGCCATTAAAACGTGATCGATTTGCACTGAAGATGTATAAAACTTCGTAAATTAATTTGCACGTGTGTACACACAACGACTGTAGAAAATTCATTGTATACACATTCATGCACATCGTGTGTATCGATGAAGGCGTGAAGAAGAGATGAAGATGATTTTACGAACAAAAGTACCAATATCAAGAGTGTATGAAATACAATTATGACTTGAATCTCCTTTCAGCATATGATGTTTAGTATTAAATTTCAAGGTTTTCATTCCCTTTTGTGTGTAATAATAATTATTTTATGGGTATTTTTCAGAGACGTTTGAATATTGGAAAGTAGGCCGAGTGGTATTTTGTGAGTGTTATCTCGTTGAATGAACGAGATTGAGAAAGAGTGAGAAAGCAAGGGAGTGAAAAGTGAGAGAAGTGTAGCACTTTTGAGACATCTAATAAACAATTTATGCACTAATTTGCTGATTGTTGGTAGCATGGAGTTCTGTTCGCACCAACTCGTGAAAATTTGATCGGGTCAACTCTTTCTCCCGCAACTTTCTCTCCTACTGCTACTGTTACCTTTCTGAACAGCACTTAGAATGTTAAATCAACCGGCGTCTAATTTCCATGCCTACTCATTTATATTTGACGAAAATAATTGACTCGAAAATATTTGTTGCTTTTTCTTTCTCTGTCTCTCTTATGCTCTCATGTCTTTTGACTTTTACGCGCTTTTAAAACCGTTTGAATATTGGAATATTTGAGACCAAAAATAAAATATGGGGAAATCCAAAATTTTGTTTACAAAGTAACAATAACAACAATAACAACGGAAAAACTGTAAAATTTCAAAATAATAAAAACATTTGAAAAACTCACAAGAATTCAATTGATCAGAAAATTAAAAAAAAAAAAAAAGTGTTTGTCGATAATCAAATGTTGAGTTTACTACAGATTTCAACCGAACATGAAATCAATACAATAGTTTGTTTACAAAATCCGTCGGACTGGCTGTGTTTCTCAACCAAAATCTAAAATTTGAACTTAGTGGCTTGACTAGCGATAATGAACTACATGTAAATCAGTATTTTCCTTTTTCTCGATATTTATCGAAATAAATGTGTGATTGCCGCCTGCGTTCACGTTTGTATGGGTTTTCCACCGAGTTCATACTTGCCACTCGGAAAATTACGTTTCTTTTCATGTTGTTACTCTATATTTTGCCGTTGTTTTCCCTTTTTCTCTCTCTCTTCCTCTCGCTCTCTCTTTCTTTTTTTCTTTTTTCTATTTATCTACGAATACACATTAGTATTGTGCCGCGTGCATATATTGAATTCTTCAAGTGTCTACAAAACGGGCGCTTATTTAAATACATTAACAGGCTGAAGCGCTATTTGATATGATGTGCTTGAACATCGGCAAATAACGCATTTGTACGAAAATATTCATTGTGTTTAATGATATTAAGGAAATTCAATTTACTTGAGCCGAAGCTTTTGTCAAATGGATGATGGTGACAACAGCGACACAGCAAGAACAACTGGATGGAATTTGTATGCAATTTTTTTTCCACGTCGTTTTGCTCATTTTTTCTTCCTTTTGCTAGCGAGAAGGCAGAAATGTCTAAATATGATATTACTCCCAGTTCAATTTTGTTGTCGGCTTTCAGTAATTTATTTGCTTTTGAATTTGCATTTCATCGATTTGGTATCAGATTATGGACACACAAGTGGAAGAGAAAAGAAATCTATATATGTGGATGGATATGGAAAAACAACAACAGCCTCAATCGATATGGTAAATTGAATAAATGAGTATTCATTAAATTAGCCTCACATATTTAAAGTAAACCACGATGAAAACGGAAGATTGTGTGTGTGTGTGTGTGTGTGCGCGTGTGTGTGTGAATATAAGTTGCCCATACTCAACAACCAAAATCGAGAAGCCATTGGAATTTTCGTTTTAACATACGAGAAATTATGTGGTCGACTGAAGACGAAGGTGGATTTTTTACATGTTGTTCACACGGATCACATCACACAAACAAGAGGCGAGAAAGAGAGTGCAAAGGAGGTGAGGGATTGGAAACGCTTCAAAATATACGGTTTATAAGCAATACGCAAATTAGTACGCAATTGATATTGATTAATTTTTAAATATAGAGCGTTCTGTGTGCACATGGATTGTATATTTTCATGCTTTATGTTCGAGCCCATTTCAATTAGAATTGTATTTCTTTTCAAAACCGTATGCCATTTCACTTTCGAATTTAGGTAGGCCGGTGAACGTTCAATAAATTCGAATAACATTGGGATTTTTCACACTCATTCATCAGATGGAATATTGTGTTTCTTGGTGTTCGTCTTTATTTTAAAATGCAAACATCAAACTCGATTTCAATTATCACGCCACAACGACCTACGACGAATAAATACATTTCACAGAAATGATGCATACTTTCGGGCGTAATTGAAATTATCACCGCGAAATGTTTGCGCATTCCACGAATTAAGAGAGTGTAGGAAGTGTTTTTCAATCAAGATTACGAAGCACACACATTGATTTGGCCTGCTTAGCATTGCTTTTAGATGAAAGACCTACCTCAACATCATTAAAATATGAACGCATTTTGTTCACGCTCAGAATATAGTACGTTGCCCCCTGATTTATGTTATTTGCCACCAATATTAATACATCATATGCGGTTCATTAAATCAACAAGTGACACATTTTGAATTAAAACTAAATAACCGAATGTTTTGAATTGACATCATTCGTAATTCTTAGAAACTCGTTGGATTTCTTTCTACCATATTTACATCCAACAATAGTGTAGCCCTTCTAAAACAATTCAATTTTGGGTAAAAATGAAGGCTCCTCTTTAACTATTCATGTCATTTTGCACCTAATCAAGCTAACAAACATTCCTCTCTCTGTTTTTGAAAACTTACTTTGAAACTTCACCTTTATCGCTTTCGGCACAGTCATTTTTGTCCGTTGCTTTTGGTGTCTTATTGGAACGATTCTTTTTTATCGATTCGATGAATTCACGTCGACTGGTCAGTGTGGTGAATCGATCAAGTGTTTCCGTTAATCTAGCACTTGCTATGTTGTTTACTTTGCAATAGTTTATTAGGCACTCATATATATCATTGTAATATTCTTGGCGTAATAATTGACGATCACCGAAATTTGTGGTTGCTTCAGTAGTAATATTAGTAGTGGTAGTAGTAGTAGTAGTTGTTGTTGTTTTTTCGTTTGCTGGTTGCTGCTGCTGCTGCTGCTGCTGCTGCTGCTTTGTTTTCTTGTCGATTAACACACCAAAATAAACCTTTTTTATGTATTTCCTCAACAAAACTTGTAATAATTGCTGGCGCACTATAATCGATGGTTTTCGTTTATAAATCTTTTCAGATGATAAAGACATAGTTCACACAAATCATCAGATGAATTTGGCTCTGGTTATTTGCGTTCAATTATGCGTTGTTTTTGTTTTCGTTTTAATTTTCTTCTTTCGGTTTTGTTTTGGCTACTTTCTATTTCTATTTTCTGCTTTTATCATATGATTCGGTGATTATGTTGTGCATTGCATTGGAGTTGTTTAAGTTTCGCGATGTTTATCTGTTACATTTTCTTTTTAACTCAGAATTACTTATTCGTTTAAAGTTTCTTATTGGTTTTCATTTAAATTCTTTAAATCAAGAGGATATATAGATTGTCCACAAGATTCGATTGGATGGTAAATCGTCTTTGAACTAATGGTTGTAAATGATTTTTTCTTAAATTTTGGTACTTGGTCATCCATTTTTTTTCTTGTCCGAGCACGAGAAAAAAAAAAATTGTGAGAAAAATGAAATCAACGAAAAAAATGCGTTCTAAGTCATTTTTCACTGTTTACGATGAATTTTTATATTTATAAATACAAGATTGTTTCAGTTTTTCGTTCTTACACTTAAATTTTTTTCATTTTATTGATAAGAATTTGTGATACGGGGGAGTACACAATCACGCGAAACGAGAAAAATCTGCAAGAATTGAAGGAAAGGAAAAGAGAAAAAAAATGTGGGTGGCGTATAAACTGCGCGTATTTGTTGTGCATATATATATTTTTCCTCTTCTGATGGTGTGCAGTGCAAAGGACATACTATATAAAGAGATAACATAAGAGCGAACCAAATTAAGAGGAGAAGATGTATAGAAATAATGAATTCAGTTACATTAATTTTCGTGCGCATTATAAAAAGAGTTTCAATTTATGGTTCGAAACAAAAAAAAATGGTCATGCAAATGGAAATGGAACTGAATTTTTTTCTGATCATAAACAACATCAAATTTCCTGTTCATGCTGAAAAACTTACCAAATCGAAAGAAGCAGGAAAAATTCCTGCTAGATAAAAGAGGACATCACAGTATATTTTGACATTCAATTTTGCTCGGTGTGTTAGTCGTGGCCCTCTGGTGTGATTCACAGTAATCTGAATTTCAGAGCTATGAAGAACCTTGACATTGATTTTAATATACTTAACCCAGAGATGTTGGTGTTTACGAATGCATAACAGAAACGAGACGAATTTTTTTTTATACATTATCTCATAACTTAATTAGTTTGTCGGTTGAATGTCATAAACTAGACGATTCCATTGAGATTTTTTGCAACGGAATCACATTGGATTGTTTTCTTCTTCTTATATGAACTTTTATGCTATCGTTTTCCAAAAAAAAGTCGATAACCTTAAGTACGCCTAATAAATTTTCACTTAGCTATCATTATTTTTCACTGAAATATTCCCAGTTGTTTCATACAATATTCCAGATTTCAATTTAATTTTTCCGTTTTTTTTTTTTTGTTTTCTTCATAAAATCAAACGCATGGTCATTTCGTTTGAAATCATTGGAAGCGGTTCAATGTTGTTTTGCCGTTTTTGAGTAAACCGCAAACATTACCGACGTGAATCGGTCAAAGTACAAGCCGCTTCACGAACTGTCAAATCAATGTATGCCACTGTATTCACTTGTAAGTTTTGTGTCACACATAGAGAGGAGCAAAAAAACAAAACAAATATTGATGTTCCATAACAAAAGATAAATGTAAAGCACTTAGTTTGAAAAGAAGAAAACCAGTTGCATTGTTAAATTCATATAACTTTCTTTTTACAGAACATCGAGTTATTGTACAAACAAATTTACCTATTTACAATAGAAAGACTTCCATTTTAAAAGGCCGTAGAAATGGTTACATCCAATGATCTTGTTGCAAATGTTGTATTTTTAATTGAGAGCACGGCAATAACCGGCGCTTATATGTCAGAGCTGAGAAACAATTATATCGTTCCAACGCTTGAGCATTTTTCATTGCAAGGCATCGCCGACGAACATGATCTATTCCCGGTTGAAAACAGTAAATTCATATACGGCGTGATCGTATATAAAACCGTTCAGGGTCTACCTGGTGTAACTTGTAGCACATATGGACCATTCTCAAGCCCACAAAAGGTGCTTAATACGATTGATAAGCTGGAGTAAGTAAAGAAAGAAAAAAAAAATCGGTTGTTTGGATGAATTATGTGACACAGCAATTTCCATTCATTCTCAAATTGTAGTCTGAGCGGTGGTAAAAGTGAATCCAATGCAAACTTAGCAGAAGGTTTGGCCACAGCACTGGTTTGTTTCGACGATATGAATGAAATTCGGGAAGAACATCGATTTCAAGTGCAAAATCATTGCATACTTTTATGCAACAGCACCCCATATTCAATGCCAGTCATGGAATGCACACTGTACGAAAATAAGACAATCGAACAAATGGCTGCACTCTTTCAGGAGGTAATAAACACACGGATTCGATGATATAAATGACTAATATCTGCGATTTTACTTTCTACAGAGAAACATTAATCTGTCGATAATATCGCCGAGGAAAATTCCAATATTGATAAAAATTTTCGAAAAAGCCGACGGTGATATGTCTGCACTGAACAAAGATTTTTCAAAAGATCCACGACATTTGGTGCTCTTGAAAGGATACTGGTAATTTTATTCAACCATCAAATGTACAGAAATGTAATGCTTTGAATAGTTTGTAATGAATGATAATTTGCTTTGAAGCTTCAGTGATCGACCGACAACACCACAAACGAGCGCGGCTCCAACACCCCACACAGCCACATTGAATGCAAACATGCAAAGCCCAAGACAGAATAATGCACCGGCGACAAAAGATCCAGTTTTATTGAACAATCTGAATCGAAATAACAGCGGAGGTAAGATTTTGCATCGCTTAATTGCGCCACGACTCTTTAAATTCGCATACTGAGCCAGTGTTTCATGGAGACACTGATATTAATTCATTCAAAAACGAATTTACAAAATACATGAGTTCTGAAAGAGGATTCATTATAGAATGATGAAAAAATTGAAAAAGTATGAGAGAAATGTTGGTTTAGAAGCAAGGAAATAATCAATATGTTATACCCATGCGAAGCGCCAACTTTCACATTAATCATCAATTATTTGTTATTTAGTTCGTTAGATTCGTAACACTTTTCAATAATTTTGCATTCGCTTTTAGGTATGAACTTCCAACAATTCAATGCAAATGCGGGTCCAACGCAGGTAATAACTAATGAATTTTTACTGACTGAATTTGATTGAATTATCATTTTAATCGAAATGGAAAATAAACCTGTAATCATTTTGTTTGGCAGCAACAACAACAACAGCAGCAACAACAACAACAACAACAACAACAATCAGCAAATGCTCAATCTCAGCCACAGTCACAGTCTCCATCATCCCAGCAGTCTCAGCCAGTGCCTGCTCAACAGCAGAATCAACCTCAAATGTATGTGCCAATTTGCATTTCTCCAGTTTGTTTTATTCGCTCGTCTAATATTAAAATTGAACTTTTACTTCTGCAGTCAAGTGTCGACTCCAGCCAATTCCCAGCCAAATCAACAGACACCACAGCAGCAGCCTCCACAAACAACTCAAGCGGTTTCATCAAGTCAGCCACAACAAATGCCACCACAACAAGCACAACAGCCTCAACCGGGGTATGCATACATAAATAATCAATATCAAATAATTAATCAATCTCACGAAACAATAAAATGGTAATATCTCTCTCTCTCTCTCTCTCTCTCTATTCAAAGAACGGACAACCAAATAAAAAATCAAGCGCCGGTCTCATCAGCTCCACAAGTTTCAACCGTATTTTCAGCGGCTCAGACCAAACCAAACATAACAACGAATCCAATGCAATCAAATATGAATCGATTCCCTGTGCCACAACAACAAAGACCAATTTTACCGAACGCAAACATAAATCCGAATATAAATATGCAGAATATGGGCGTACAACAACCGCCGGTACCAAGTGCATTGGTAAATCAATCATAATTTTCCATTAGAATGAGCATTTAGCTGAATATACTTTTTTCATATTTTTAAAGCAACAACAAGCGCTACGTATGCAAATTCTCAACCAACAGCAAATGCAACATCAAATTCAACAAGAAAAATTACAACAACAAAGGCTTCAGCAGCAGCAACAACAACAACAGCAACAACAACAACAACAACAACAGCAGCAGCAGCAGCAACAACAGCAACAGCAACAGCAGCAGCAGCAGCAGCAGCAGCAGCAACAACAACAGCAGCAACAACAGCAACAGCAACAACAACAACAACAGCAGCAGCAGCCCCAGCCAACGTTGGCAAATGCACAAAATCTAAATCAGGCTCCACATCAGGGACTGATGCAGCAATCAATGGATTCATCGGCTCAAGCACAAGCACAGCAGAACGTTCCCGGTGGAAGTATGCCGCCTCCGATTCGCGAGAAAATTTGGAGCGGTGTTTTGGAGTGGGTTGAAAAAGCGAAAAATACGTCTGCCGATAAAATACCACATCAAGTTCCATGTTATGTCACAGCCAAAGAGGGCGATGCTGAAATGTAATTTTTGCACTTCCATTTTATTTCAATATCATATCCTACGCTAACATTCGTCTATACTTTTTGAAATACAGACAAGGTGATAATTGGCCACCGCGTTTGCTGATGCAACTGATGCCAAAACAATTGGTCGGAAATATTGGTCAACAATATTTGAAGGAATCGAGATCTGTTTGTTTCCATTTGTCGCCGGTAATTAAAAGCAAATGATTTGCGTCAAAAGAATTATTTGTAATACAAGGGTATTTGTGATTTCAGTGTCCCAGTTTGGATAACCTCACTCGTGTCATGAGCAGCGGATTTGTAAGTTTAAATTTCATCATTTCTATTCAAGCCATTCAATTCAATTTCATTCTTATTTAATTCAATGGCAATTGTCTGAATTATATCATTTATTCTCTAGGCTGGTTGTGTGCACTTCAACCAACAGTCCTCGTCATGTGACATTCGTGTATTGATTTTGTTTTATTCCGTGGATAAAAAGGCGTATCTTGGTTTTATTCCGAATAATCAAGTAAGTAATTTGCAAACTAAAATCAAAAAATGGTACTCAGTGATCAGAATGAGCGAAAAAATTAATTACAATGAATTCGTTTTGACAGGCTGGTTTTGTTGAACGTCTGCGAAAGGTGATTTCACAAAAACAAGGCGTTCGAGGCACAGGACAACCGGTATGGATTGATAAAAGAAAAAAAAAACTAATTTTTCGCTTATTTTGAATAAAAATTAAATTTTTCGCCGTTAATATTCGATAGAATCCACAGCAGCCTGGTCAGTCACAGCAACCGCAAATGATGCAACCGGCCCAGCCAAACGTTTCACAGCAGGTATGTGCAAATATAGCCGCAATAAAAAAAGGCATCTCTAAATGTTGAATAATTTCGAATGTTCCGAATTCCACTTTAAAATAAACAGCAAATTCAGCAGCCGCATCAAGATCAAATGGTGAAAATGGAGTTTGGTCAGATTTCGTCACCGATGATGGGTCAACAAGGCAATCAAATGCCAGTGCCCGTTCAGCAAATGCAACAAGATGCGATGCAACAACATATGCCGATGCAACCTGATTTCAATAAAATTATGCAGCAACGCATGAAACTCAACCCACAGGCTCAGGTTAGATTTGTGCAGAAGCAATTTGAAAAATATGTAGTTTATTCATTGTTGATCGAATCATTTAGATGATGAATGTTCCACGGATGATGCGTCCTGGCATGCCAAATCCAAATCCAAACGCAAATGCCGCTATGATCAATCCAAATAACAGTCTTCGACATTTACTTCAACCACAAGGACAGGTAAGATATGGAACTAATCTTAAGTCATACATACAATTGGCTTCGTGTAGAGCGGTTTATATACTATCGTCTTTGGCATTGAAAAATTGTAATTTAATGGAGAGTGAAATTCAAGTTGATCAAAGGGAGCAGTGGGCAATTCTTTAGAGAACAATGACATACAGTTTTACGTATTTTATTAACTCTTTTTTTCAACCGCAGCAGCCAAATCAATTTAGACCGATGATGGGAATGCAAGGGCCGAACAACATGATGAACCCCAATATGAACATGAATATTCGACCCAATCAACCATTCAACGATCCGAATTTCGAATATATGCAATAAAATTATCAGTAAAATGTAATTTTTTTTCTCGCATTCATTTTTATTTTTTTTCTACATGATCGACACAACTAACGAATAAGAATCGATTTGCTAATTAATGTATTCTGTTCTTAGGACTTTAATTGAGAAACAATGAACGCAATCATAACTGTATCTTGGATGGAGGGTTTTGTATTTTCTTGGAATTCATATCGTTTTGAGACTTGCATCCACATTTTGGATCGGCTCAGACTCAGTGGCATTTGCAACCACGATGTGTAATCGATACGAAGACTTCCTGTTAATAGCTTTAAGTGACGATACAAATAAAACGAATATTTTATTTAAGTGGCGCGCACCATTTTCTGCATGAAAATATATTACCTGATCAAAAGGTTGTTGGCCAATGTGAAACATTGACTGTAGCAAACCCGATCGCTCTTCTTTAATATTTTGCCCGGGTAATGTTTTAAATTCGCTCATTTCCACCGTGCTCACTTTTAATTTGTGAAGCAACCATTCGCCATTGAACTTCAAGTAATTGTATAGGAGCTGAAATGAAGGCGAATTTTTCATTGGTGAAGATTCAAAATAAGGAAAGTGGAGAAAATTACTTTAGCACATTGTTTTCCAACTAAAGTTTTAAGTAAATCGCCGCATAGAATGTCCGGTATATGATCACTTGAATCAACAATAAATTCTAGATGATCGGAATGGGTACTGCCAGTTGTGTCAGCGTTCTTGGCGGCTCCTCGTTCATTAATCACAATGTTGTCCGTTGTTATATAATACTGAGCCTTTGTAATGAGATTTTGAATTCCTTCAGTGTGCTTATTATCTTCATCGATTGAACATATTGCTTCGGCAAGCGTCGTGCAAATGGATGACTTGCTTAGCGCCGTTGTTTCGCCCGTTTTATTGGCCACATCTTTTTCAGAGATTTCAATAAATTTGGTATAGAGTGCACTGAATAAAGTCTGTACTAAAACCGATTCACCAAGCGGTCGCACTTCGGTCGATATGATTTCACCCAACGTTGATGTGAGTATGAACAAATTATTCGGCAGACAGTCAAGCATTTCGGTTAAACAAGAGATCGCAAGAGCCATTGTCTGAAAAGATTGACGAGTTGGAATTGTAATTTGGAAATGAATTTCAACTGAACGCAAGAAGAAAAAAACACGAATATACTTGATAAATTGTGGCACCAGTTTGCATCGAGCCAATCAATATATTTGCAATGGGTGTCAACAATGGATAAATCATATGATGTAGCGCCTCGAACCAAGGGGGCCGTTTTTGATTCCAAACTTGCCGTCGATCCAAACAATTCGACCAATCTTGATGAAGTGATCGTTCGAAAGATGCGACTAACGTGGATTTTATGTCCGAAGATTTGCCAACCATCGTTTGTAAATAAGTGAGAGCCAACAGCACTTGATAATTTGTTTGACCAACTGGATCTTGAAAATCATTTCATGAAACAAAAAAATCAGAGGCATAATTAATCGATATTAATAATACTACTGTGTCCAAAAAGTAAGGTGACATTGCATTTAAAATTTAGCGCGCTGGGGAATTTGAAAAAATCCTTTTATTTTTAGGTTGGTAGGACTGTCTTTGACATCCCTGCCAAATTACACGTCAAAATATTCATTAGTGTTTGAGATACGCTTCGTTTTGTGGACTGCTAAAAGTGAATTTCTCGTTTTTTGCGATGTCGAAATTTGTTGATCAAAGAATTTGCATTAAATTTTGTTTGCGGAATCAATTTTCTGCTGCGGATTCGTTGAGGATGGTGCAGAAAGCCTTTGGTGATGAGGCTATGTCGAAAAAAAATGTTTACAAGTGGTATAGTGAGTTCCAAGCAGGCCGTGAATGTGTCGAAGACGAAGAGCGTGCTGGGCGACCATCAACCTCAACCGACGAAGCTCACGTCCAAAAAATTAAAGATTTGGTGTTGGAAAACCGTCGATTAACGATTAGAGACCTTGCTGATGATATTGGCATATCGAAAGGCTCAGTCAATACCATTTTGAAGGATGTTTTGGGCCTCAAACGCGTCAAATCTCGACTGGTACCGAAATCATTGAATTTTTTGGAAAAAAGGTGTCGAGTTGACGTGTGTGAAACAATGCTTTCTGACTACATTGACAAGACGAAATGCATGATCACTGGAGACGAGACTTGGATCTATGCTTACGACCCGGAAACAACCGACCAATCGAGCGAATATCGTGCCAAAGGTGAGCCGAGACCAAAAAAACCGCGCCAAAGTCGCTCAAAAATCAAGGTCATGTTGACTGTTTTCTTCGATTATCGGGGTGTTGTGCATTATGAGTTCCTTCCCCCGGGTCAAACAGTCAACAAGGAATATTATTTGAGTGTTATGCGTCGTTTGCGTAACGCTATCCGCCAAAAGAGGCCGGAATTGTGGAAAGACAACTCTTGGTTTTTGCACCATTATAATGCATCGTCTCACAATGCGATCATTCTTCGTGAACATTTCGCCAAAAACTCGACTCATATCGTTCCACAACCACCGTATTCACCTGATTTGGCACCGTGCGACTTCTGGCTGTTCAACAAGCTCAAAAGACCGCTCCGGGGACACCGTTTTGAGACGATAGAGCAGATTGAAGCCGCAGCGAAGACGGAGCTGAGGGCCATCCCTGAAGTCGACTTTTTCAACTGTTTCGAAGATTGGAAAATCCGTTGGCATAAGTGCATTGTATCGGGAGGGGATTACTTCGAAGGCGATGAAATTGATTTGGAAGAATAAATAAAGAATTTTCAAAATAAATGCAATGTCACCTTACTTTTTGGACACAGTAATAATACTAATTCTGCGTATAAAGCCCATTTATAAGTTGCTATGAAGCGTTCGATTTTGCAAAGAGATTTTTACAATTTTGGTCATAACAAATGAATTTATCGCTTTGCACTCTTACCATTGTCCAAATTTGCCCATTCAGCTACTGTGTGACAGTCTCGGCTACAAAGAAATCTCTTACATTTCTCTGCGTCAATATCATGCTTGGAAAACGGTTGATCGAGTGCTGCTTTATAGCAATCTGAAGTTGGTAAATTGTTGAGTAGATGTGAAAAAATCAATGACGACAAATACGAGTTACGCATTAGCAGTATTTTCAACAGAAGCGCCCAGTCGGGCTGCGACGAGTTCAGAAGAATCTTCAGTTCTAGAGCAATGGCCGCATTTTTGGTGAATTCAGACAAATCGTTTGCATTTTTATTGAAATTGTCATTTGTAAATATGGTTGGCATTGCAAATTGAATCCATGGTGAAGAACATCCAGAACGTATTTTGAAGAGATTATTTATTGATGACTCTTTTCGCAGAATCTGGAATATTTAGAACGGAAGAATGTAGAAAACTTGAACACGATAACAATCATTCAAAATTTCAATCAAACTGGCCACAGACAAACACTCGCTAGGTGTGACATATTTTACTGACACATTGTTAGTGTTTTGACGTTTCGCCAGGAGTTTTGTTCATTTGTGTCACACAAATTGTGTAACGAATATGAACACAAATGTACGAAACTTGTAGTGAAACGTTAAAACATCAACAGTGTGTGGACTATTGAATTACCTTATACAATCCACCCAATGGAACACCACGCGACAGTAGGATTACGAATAGTTCGTGGCATTTGCAGTGAATATCACGAATCGATTTGCTCTGCTGTGTTATGTTCAATCCAGCCAGAGCTTCGCCGTTTTCGCAAACCGACGGCAAAATGTCAGCCATACACATAAGCAAATTCGATATGTCAACCAAAACCAATTGTGATCTCGCAACACTCGGAACAATCTGCTCATATCGAACCGTGAGAATGGTCAGAGTTTCGTTCAACATTTCGGCTAGCACTCGTTTTGCCATTCTCGGCGGTACTGAGTTCCATAGATCCTGTTTCGTACCTTGTATATAAAGCCACCACATTTGAATCGTATACGAACCACGCTCCGATTCAAAAAATGGCTGTTCCTTTTCCCAGTGCAAACAGTCAGCATCTTGAACGATGTACAAGGACAACAGTCGAACATGCAAATCAAGCAAACGTTCAGCTAATGCTTCAGTCATTTCGTTATACTGTTTGTAGGCAATCTAATTGATCCGTACGAATATAAAGCGATATTTTCAAGTGAAATAAAACAATTTGGATTAATATAGGAATCAGAAAAAAGATTTGTCTGATAAGAATAGTGATTGAAAAGAGTGATCAATAAAAAAAAAATGCCTTCAATGAACCCCCGGATTCGTCTCCTCTCGGCGGGCACCAGTCAACGGTGACAGACCGTAAGTAAACCCATAGGCTATTTTTGATCAGAGCCGATGCTCCAATGACGGCCGTGAGCACAGTCAGATCGGCATGATCAAGTGCTTCCTGACTCAACGTATGTATATGTTCTGTATGGTTGAATTGAAGCGTTAGTTTTATTAGTTAGCAATTTTTCTATTCAAATAAATAAACATGATTACCTAAAAGTTTATCGGCTGATTTTGTAATGGCGTTTACAAATTTTTCGGGACTCGATGCCTTCACTATATTCTTTTCGCCCACATTTGACTCGTTAAGATGTAACAAGCCCGAATATTTTTTGTATGCTGCATAATATTCATCTTCCCACCTAAACCGAACGAAATAAAGAGTTTAAAATTAGTCGATTTGAACCGTTTGAGTTTCTTATTTTTTTTTTTTATCCAACCATTCGACCATTTTGACTGAAGCAAAAGAAGCGGATCGAGGAAAATCTAGTGTTCCACCAACCACACCAGGACAAATAATCTCTTGAAGAACCGTTTGATTTTGCTAAATAAAAAGATGAATATCACAAGGTGATTCAACATTAAATCAACAACCATTTACATCGTAATACTGGCGATCTCGTTGAAGTAGAATTGGAACTCTGTCCATCAAATCACCTTCTTCCATCACCTCCATTTTTGATCTCGTTATCCTTTTCTCTCCTAAACCTCAACCAAACGTGGTCAAACCAAAACAGATTCGATATTAATTGTTCTAACTACTTCTAATGTTTTGAAACGAGATGATGGTTCTCGTCTAATCATCGAACAAACAAACGGTTGCTAGGCTCCATTAATAAACAAACAACTCATTTCCATAGGTTTAATACAAAAATAAATTTTATTTTCTCGTTTTCTTTTTGTTCATCAGAAAAACATAAATACAATAACAGTTTTAATGAATTATTGCAAAACCTGAGTATCTCAGCCAACAGAAAGTTTATTTTTCGGTTTTTTTATGTTTTTTTTTTTTTCTCTTTCGTCTTAATTTTGGAATAATTGAAAATGAAAAGGTTCGTTAAAGAAACACAACTAGCAATTTCTGATTATCACAAAATATTAAGCGTGAATGCGCTTTTAAATGAAGTCTTCAAACTAAGCTAAACCCTTGATGTTGCTGAATTGCTTGCATCAGTTTGTATTTTAATTTCTCTTTCGTTTGATAACGAGGAAGATCTAGTAAATTAAAGCAAGTGTGAGCCACAGGCAAAAATTTATCATCGGTTACCGGTTGGATAATAATCTAAATTGGATATTAAAAAAAAATTGAGTGAAAAATAACGTTGAAAAAAAAAATTAATTCAGGAACTAATCAAAGTTAACTTACTTGTAGAGCTTTTGTTCCGATCGCAATTCGATCGCTCCCCGTTAAAAATAGCAAGAATTTTTTTTTGTCTTCTAGTGGCAGTTCATGAAATACTTCCCAAAATAGGCGAATCTGTGTAAAAAAAAAAAATTAATCCAATTTCAAAGGTGACTCGTGATTGCAAAAAAAAAGTTCTTCACATGAATTCAAATATCAAACTAAGCTAAACAGTCATATGAGTTGGGTCGTACCGTTGGATCACCAGATGAATAGCCGCCTTTGTATTTTGTCGATTGTTCAAATGCATCCCAATCGTAGTGTTCGTTACCAATAATGAGCCCCATGAGCTCATGCGATCGAAACAGTTCCATGACTGGACCGCCGCAAACTTTCATGAAGCCAGCGTAAAATGCATTAAACTGTGTTTCGACCGATTTGTTCAGCACAAAATCAATATACAATTCAACGAATTCTTTCCTGTTGAACGAAGAGATAATGAATCTTGTGTTAATATCATTCAATACATATAGATATAGATCTCATGCGTTGTTCCATACTTATTTTCCTGATTCACTCGAATTTGATCGCCATTTGGTTTGAGTGGTACGGTTTCAAGATGGCCGTAGTTTTCGCGGCTAATTTCGAAGGTCAAATCAAACACATCTTCCATGTCATTGCCTTCATAATTAAGAATATTTTGCATTGTTCGTCCCAAAACTGGTGACACCTCTTTCATATCGGTCAAATCAACTTTTTCTTTTAGCAGCTTCTTGTACAATGCCAATGGAAATGGCAAATTGATGATGATAAAGTTGTAAATAGCAAGGCCACAAATGGTACCAACTAATTTGTACATCTCTGGATCTTCAAAACTGTTTGAAGCGAACCAAATCAGACGCGATTCTTCGTACTCTTGAAACATCCCGTACTTTTGATCAAGAATTTCTTTCATAAGCAACAAGAAAAATTCCTTTCGCACACCACCGGCATCCTCACCCTCCTCACCGAGAAACTTCACCTTTAACGGTTTTTTCAGATCTTTGACATTGCACATGCAAATTTCACGAATTGTATCATTGACAATATTCTCTCGCGTCACATTGAACACAACAAATTCATTTACATCAGTTGGTTCGCGTGCCAATAAGTTGGCCAACAGAAGACTTTGTTGTGCTTGCATTACGGCTCGATGCATTTGGATCGCTTGATCTGTCTGCAGCAAAAGGGTTTTCGATTTTGCGTCAAATATAAATGGGAAATTACAGAGGAAAAATTCGTTGGACTGTTGGGAAAAAGGAGGACGCACCGAGTTTAGTGATTCGAATAATATAAATGAAAATAATTTCCACCATTTGCAATACTTACGTGGCCTTGGCTCTGTGACCAGCGATAGAAATCTTTTTGTAGATCAACCATTTCAGTAATTTCAGGCAAGTAGAATGTCTCATAGGACAGACGTTGCATTCGTTGGTTATTGTTAATTTGAAATAGCAGTTTGAGCATTTTCAGAGCCATATCTAAATTTGGTTCCCATGTAACCATGGGCAATTCTGGTTCGGCTGTATCCATATTGCTACTCGAGCTATTGTATTTAAATCTCAAGACGTGCATGACAACACTTTTATAGTTTTCAACTAATCGTTCAAAGTAATCGGTGGATTGTTCAGCCCACCATTGTGTCAGAATATTCAATGGAATTTTGCCTAAGCTGAGAACAGCCCGACTGAATGGCGTGTGGAGTGTTTCGTAGTTTTTCGAGTTAATGAATTCATGGTAAAGTGGTAAAAGCAAATACGATCTCAAAACTTCGACATCGGGTGGCGATGATGACAGCGTTTTGATGATTGTCGTCGTAATACCTTCCCAAATCTGTGAAACACGAATAACGTAAATGTGAACAGACGATTTTTTTCATTGCGAAATTGATGTGGAAATTGCCATAAAATAATATAAATTTCAACATTGAATGGTTCTTTACTATAGACTTATTTCATTGTACTTACAACATTTTTTAGGTTTAAATTTTCCATCTTCCGAATGTACCCAAAGGCAATTTCCGCATCGGCAATGTTGACCCCATGATTTTTCGAAGTGCAACACATGTGAGCGTCGTTTGGTTGCAAAAATGAGCCGTTTATGCAGGCCAAACTTCTGAACAATGTTTCAATGGATGACATCAGCTGCAGATCAACCGTTTCATCTTTTCCAATACTGGCACAATGCTTGGCTAAACTAATTGACAAACTTTCAATCTGTGTATTCGACCTGAAATCGCAAAGTTGATAAATAAGTCTATTGTCATTTAATCGATTTCAAACAATATGAAATGCATACTCAAGGATACGAGAGTCATAACTATTTGTGTTATCAGATGATGTGAATGCAAACGATCTATCTCCGCCCGAAAATATTCTTTTCACAAAGGAACTTTCTCGTTCAGTCTTATCGTCAAATGCCTGAAGAAACAATTTTATAAATGATTGAACAAAGTGTCTTCATTTCGTTTTTTTAAAATTTAATTGCCCAGTTTACAACCTACCCATGGTCCAATTACAACAATCGGAACAGCTGAGTTATTGGTTGACCTATTGCCTAGAAAAATCGAACTGTTGTAAGAAATATTCTATCTAAATCAGTGGTAAACCACTACCTAATTGGCCACATGAGTTCAAACCAAAACCATAGATGCGTCCTCTTGACGGCACATATGTTAATGTGTGCCTATTGCCACATGTAACCTGTGTAACTTGAGTGCCCATCATTTCAACTACCATTCGCGGCAAGCTAACATTATTCCTGTTACCATGACCTAACTGCCCGAAATTTCCTGCACCTGTGAATCACGAATAACGTATTAATGAAAATTCGTAAATTTTTTTTTTAGGTAAAATGATGCAAAAAATGCTATAAATTAGTTGGAATTTGCATTTGAATAGTTCTCACCACAAGAAAATACACCACCATCAAGCGTAAGGAACACTGAAAAATCTTCGCCAGCCGACACCTTGCGAACACCAATTGATCGCAGTGTTTTGAGTTGAGTCGGATAGAATCTGGGATTTTCGTCACCAATACCAAGTTGGCCAAAAGTATTTTTTCCCCAGCCGAAAACGGCCCCACTCTTCGAAATTGCAAAGCTATGATAACCGCCGCATGCAATAAAGGCAATTGGAATTCCATCTAAAGATGTGATTTTCATTGGATTCGTAACTTTTTTCATTGCATTTCCAATACCCAATTGTCCATAATTGTTCAAACCCCAAGACCATAATTCACCCTCTGTATCAGAAGAACCATTAGCATATATATTAAATTCAATGACTTGAAAATAATTTCGTTAAAATTAATAAATTCAATTTAATTCTATTCGATAGGAATTGAAATGGGATAGTTTTGCATACCATTTGTGAGCGCAAGGTTATGGTGATCACCGCATGCAATTTGTACAATATTTTTTGTGGCTAATTTTTTAGCTAGTTTTGGCAGTGGTTCATTTGTGTCAAATTCGCCATAGCCTAACTGTCCGAAGCTATTTGATCCCCATGTGAATAATAAACTGAAGAAGAAGTGCACAAAATTATTATTCAATACACATAGCAACAGATAAAATGCACAACTTACCCCCATTCGTTGATAGCACATGAGTGTGATGATCCACAACAGACATTTTTGATAACATGACTTTCGAGATTTTCAACCAAATCTGCAAAATGTGATATTGGCGGTCGCAATTTGAGGTTAGTGAGTAAAATGGTTGAGATGGTTTTGGATTGTGTCGATCTTATTCAGAAACCAGTTTTTTGTGGTGTTTATTTCTTCTTATCTAACGCTATCTCATTGTGTGGTCTTCCGCAATGTTGGTATCGCTTAAGAGCATTGCCATACGAAAAAATGATGGCATTTCTATTGTCATCTCGCATTTTTTTTTTTTTCAGAGGTTAAAAACAGATGTAGTTGCAACGAGATACACAATACAATACAACACACGTCATATGGTTGAACTCTTCAATATTTCACAACATTGCTGAAGATTGCTTGGCATCTACTACATTTCTAATTCTTCAATGACACGGTCAATACCAATATGAATCGGATTAAATGAATTTCGTGGCATGGTTATATGAATGAAACGAAGTGAAGTAAATGAAAAAAATAAAACTGAAAGCAAATCGAATAAATGACCTAAATGTCTAAATTTGCAGCTTTCACCTTGTCTGTGTCAACAAAAAATTTGCCTGTATTTTTTTTTGTGTGTCAGAAAATGTGATTGATATATATGAGAGAAAAAGAAATAAAAAAGAATGAAACTGATTGACTGAGAGACTGATGAATCTGGATAAAGATCGAGGATTGATGAAATGTTGAAAATAAATGATACGGTGTTTACATACAAAAAAATGTTGACATACGTGGACGTTTTCTCGTTTGCTCATGACCTAACTGTCCAAAATCATTGTTGCCACTCGAATATACTTTGCCATTTACTAAAAACAGCGTATGAACTGGTCCACAAGACACATGCTCAATATCGCATGCAAGTGACCAGTCAAGCTGTCGTGGTGTTAGAACCTGCAACAAAAAAGTGAAATTTCATTGAATAAAGAATACCATAATCCAAGTGCAAGTATGTATTTGTTTAATTACATGCTCTTCTTCAATACCACCGAGGGCAAGTTCACCATGACTCGTGCTACCCCAACAATACAATGTCATTGTATCGATTACGTCGTCTGGACGTGATTTTCAAGGAATGTTCGAGATTTTGCGACAACAAAAGCAATGTGCATATGCCGTAATTTAAAATTGTGATTGAATCCGTTCGGTTTAGTTTTACTTTGTTGCCAGTGGATCAGCCTGAATGCAAAACAAATTGGAAATCATCAGATAGGCATTCGTTTTGAATAGATAACAAATATACAAAATTTATAAACAATTCTTTTACATTAAATTCAATCGAGCTGCGTATGGTCAACGAAAATGTAATGTTCCGTAGTAATTTGTCGGATGCTTTTCGAAATGAATAATAAAAACATTTGAGATTTCCGTCGGTTGGAGCACACAACGCCAGAACCAGTAAAGAAAAACAAAAGAAAAAACGAAATGAAAAATAAAACAATAATGCAATTTCAACAACTCTTTTCCGCACAAACTATTTGTCAGTTTATTCTAGCGCTTTCCAAATGTCATACACAATTGACATTCCACATTCGTGTGCGCCATCTATTGGGCATCGTTTACAATGTTGGCGTCCTTAACCGCCAGATTTTCAAAATAGGCAATCAGAATCGAAATTACCTAGAAGCTCCTCGGGAAATACAAATCACATCACGACGATGTGGCTATTTTCAACTTTGCAGCCCAAAATCACACAGCGATAGCAGCATATTGGCTATTTTTGTTTTTATGTCGCACCGCGACATACATTTCCCTCGATGCTAAATCCGAAACGAAAGTCAAAAAAATTCCGTTACCTTACATTCTTTATCCACATGAACTAATAAGAATGCGTTTTCCTTGGCCTACCCGTTTTTTTTCGGTTTCTAATTTGCGTAGCCAAACGTGTGCTACACACAAAAATCACATCTGAATTCGAGAAAAATCATCGGATTGCGGTGGCTGTTTTCGTATCAAAATTCAAAAGATGCGATTCAGAGAAACGAGAGATGAGTCTGTAGCTATTATTCATTGATTGAAATACAAAATGATGATAAATTGTAATTTGCAAGATTACAATTTAAAAACACATTGTTCAAGGTAATTTCCCACAATTTTGTTTTCGTGTCAGCATCAACCGTTTTTATTAAATACGATAACGGGCCAATAACAAACTAGAATAAATTGCGACAATGAATGACATGATTGTTTTTCTTAATGGAAAATATTGAGGCAAATTTGTGGCAGACAATTTGTTTGTTTCTGTTGAATAAGTTCGATGAAAAAAAAAAATCTACTGTATTAAAAATGTATTCCTTAACAATTAGTTATAGAAAGTAAATAAGTGTTGTGATTGTGCAATGACCATTGTGAGTTGAGTGCCCACTATGTCTATCTCTCTTTCTCTCTCTCTCTCTCTTCTTTCTCTGTATACCAAGTTCAAGATTGAAAATTTAGTGGTTGCATCTTTTTTATTTGTTTGTTTTTTTTTTTTTTTTTGGTTTGTTTTGTGTTTTATTAATTTCTATTGTCTGCCGTAAGTTCGTAGTCCTATAAAATACCACATAATTCGATGTTGTTATTATTTTTGTTTTGTTTTAAAGAAAATTATAGGCGGCTTTGTTTCTCTTTTCTTTATTGAAAAAAAAAATAAAAAAAGATTTTTAAGCGGCTTCTTCTTCTTCTCCTTCTTCTTTGCCGGTCAACATTTCGATAAGGGCGGCGGTATCAATCATGTTTTTGTCGTCGATGATCATTTGATCGTAGGCATCATCAACTTCGGTTTGTGAGAACCTCTCACCGAATGAAGTCAACAAGTGACGCAATTTATCACCGTCGATCACACCATTTTCATCGAACTTTTTGAATGCGTCGATAACAACATCATCGTCGTCTGTTGCTCCAGAGCCCGCCATACGTTTTGCGAAAAGGGTCAACAATTGTGTGAAATTGATTGGTCCTGATGCTTCGCCCAACATTTCTTCCAATTCTTTGTCGTTTGTCAAACGGCCAACGGCATCGAAGGTGGTACGAAGATCATTTTTGCCAATAATACCGTCTTTGTCTTGGTCCATCAGTTGGAAGGCCTGTTAGATTGCATAGGAAAAACAAACAATGAAATTAGTTACTATTTGCATTTTGTTTTACTTTCTTTGTGTTTCTTCCTATTTTCTGTCGATTGACCATTTCACATAACAAAATGTGTTGAAAAAGTAAAGTGCTCACCTCTTTGAATTCGGCAACTTGTTTCTGCGAGAACATAGAGAACACATTTGAACCGGCACGCTTTGCGCGTCTTGATGATGATCCACCTGATTTGGATGATTGGCGGGTTGAGCCTGATGGAGATTTTGGTGTAGCGGCAGTCGAAGCTGGGGTGGCAGCTGGAGTTTCCTCTGGAGTAGCCTCAGTGGTGGAATCTCCCTCCTTGGTCTTCTTCTTCTTTACCTTCTTCTCTTTCTCAGACTGAAAAAAAAAAAGCGGAAACGAAGAGTATGGTTATAGCTTGCTTTGCTCTACACAATCATAACATTTGTTTCTTTCGTTTCAATTGCAAAGTCGCTGGGAAAAATCGTGAAATTGATCTATTTCATTTACTATCAAATTGGTTTACATTATCATTTCGTAATCTGCCCACAAACGATTCATATCGCGTAACATTTATGATTTCACCGACAAAAAAAAATATATTGAGAAATGTGTGCGAAGGAATGTCGAAGAATTGAATGCTTTCAGAAGTGGCCAGTTAAAAATAGAACTCTCGCCGTCTCTTTGCGAATGGATCCATTTGCACCGCGCTTTGGATCGTGCGTTGAGAACTTTTGCTAGTGGCTAAAAATAGCATCGCGCACCATTGGAATTGGGTGTTGGATATCTCTGTTACTTTATATTTCGCGGCTTCAATCGAACATGTTTCTTTTTAATCTCTCTCTCTCTCTCTCTCTCTCTCTCTTCACGTCGAAAATCGAGTCGTCTGTTATTGCATAACACATTGATTTCATGCATGGATTCAAATGCTCAGTACAAATTAATTTACGAATTCATGAAATGATATTTTCATTTGGTTTGCTACAATTCCTTCTCCTTTTTTTTCTCGTTTCTCTCATTCTTGTTCGAAGAACCAATTCTCAGTAAAATTTCAAAAACTTTGGCCATTTATTGTTCACCATTGCACACAATTCTTCTAAAACTCCCTTCTGCCGGAGTTTGAAGAAGAGAAAACTATTAAAATGTTAGCTCGTTTTTATCTCGTTGGCACAGTGAGATTTATGCACAAAGTTCTGATCTAGGTTCTGATAATTTTTCTTTAAAAAATCACTTTTAGTTTTGTGCACTAAATCGTATTTTTCTTTTCACTTCAAAAAAAAAAAATCCAATATCCCATCGCCGGTGTTGATTATATGGTGCTGGCCCGAAAAAAACATTCCTTCAAATTCTCTTTTCGACAAAAAAAAAAAAAATATGTTTCACGATTTTTTCCACTATTCAACACTGGATGTGTGTTTAGTAAATTTTTTCCTTAGTTCAGGAGCTTGACCAACTTACCATGTTGATTGTTGGATTGTTATCGACTACTATTCACAAAACGCCAGCAGCAACTGATATTTAATTCCGCTCGGCCGTCTCAGATCGGTTTGCAAAATCGTCGCTCGCCGCGCAGCCTTCACACATACTCAAACAAAATAGCTCCTTTTTTAGTAGCCAATGTGTATTTCAATACGATTGCCCATATATCTAAAATTAACTTTTTTAAAAGAGATCGGCCCGAAATTGTGTGTTGGTGTGTGCGCGCACGCAAACACCGTACCAACGATGATCCTATTACCGAAGAAGCAATAGAAAATTCATAGGCATCGAAGAGATTTGCAACAAAATGGTCGAATAACTTTTTTTATGTACTGCACATGCGTGAATGATTCAGCCGCGCACACAGGCCACAGGCACTAGCATTAGTAACATTTTGTGAAAGAGAGAAGAGAAAAAAAAACAAAGCAATCTCACATTCAATGCCCTACTATTATAAAACATATTATAATCATCGCATTCAACAAACTCTAGACGACGAAATGTCGCGGGTGGGGAGAAAATATTTGGCCAGTCAAAAAAATACAAACAAAAAATAAAATGAAGCAACGACGTACGGCAAGAATGGCAGAATTTACTTCTAACCTTTTCACATATTTCCCAAGTGAAACATTCAAATCAATTTAAATGGCGTTAAACAAGCTTCATTTGGCTTGAAATCCAAATACGTAGCAATGATCAAACGATTTCTTATTCAATTCTTGCAAAGTCTTCATCGCATTTTCAATGGGCGTCTTCGCGAAATTTAACTATCAAACCTTTTCATTAGGCCATTCCGATCAAAAAGGCTCGAATCAAATGCTGAAAAAAGTAGCAAATTATAAAAACATCGGAATCGATCGAGCTCAGCTTTCAATTCACATTCGGTTTCGGATTCGTATTCGTATTTGTTTTTGAATTCGCACTTGATTTGTGATACCTTCACATTTTTAAACTTACTCAAAGAATATTCGTTGCGAACGAAAAAGAACAAAAAAATTATGTATGGGAAACAATATTGAAATCGCCGAAAAATGTGTTCAGTGATGAGTATATTGTATTTTCGGTTTTCATGTTGTTGGCCGCGTGCCAATTGTTTCGCTTTCTCGTTTTTCTTTTACTTCGTTGATGAAAACCGAAGCATACATTACATTTCATCTCGTCTTCGCTTTGACAGTGTTTGTAAGCATCTTTGCGTGAATTGATCAAGCGAATGAAAGCATAACACAGAGAAGCGCTCGAGTTTATTTTCGATTTTCAGTTCCAATGCGCGAAAATTGGGCAAAAGAACACCCACATCTATGTGTGCTGTGTGGGAATGGCTTTGCTTTGCTTTGCTTCGCTTCTGCTTTCGACCGTTTTTTTTTTATTTGCTACACTCTCAACCAAAATATGCGCGAGAAAAACATATTTTACCGCATTACGATATTATTCATGTTTGGCATACATTTTTTACGGTCGTGTGTTTTTGAAGTCTAGTTACGAACAAACATAGAATTTAAACGATTTTAAAGTGAAGATACGGTCAACTGAAGGAATTTATGCGCAAACAAAATATTTTAAGCTAAACTAATCGAATTTTTTGCTGCGAGAAATTAAAATCTAATTACTGTGTGACTTCTAAACACGATTCCTAAGCCCAGTTATTTCGCAGACATTTCACACATTCGATTAAGTAAACAATTGATAGATTTACAAGGTTTTTGGTTTACTGTTAACAGAAACATCAACCACTTTACCCTTGGTGCATTGCACGGCCATGTCATAGACGATTGAAATGAATGTTAAGTTTGATGAGAAACAAGTAGATCCATTTTAACTATGCTTTGATATGATCACACCGAAGTTGCATTGATCAATCAATTTTCGTGGAACATCCCAAAAAAAATGTATTTTGCTTCCAGGTTTTTCTACACGATGTACATAGTAATTCTGGATTTATTACATAAACCGTGTAAATATGCTGAAAAACGGTGTAACTTTTGTTAGAACTAAACTATTTTTCCTATCGTGTTTATGATTACATCAATCCAAAATTGTAATGTGTACTGTTGTCTGGATTCAAAAATTTTCTGAATATCACATGACCCACAAAAAACCACTTGAACCACACTTATTGGAAGATTTTTTTAATAAGAACATCTACTTTGAACAATACTGCATCGATTCATGTTTTTCTAAACAAATTTGTATCAATAAAGATAATTTTGTGAACTTTTTTGAGACCGCCAAGTACTGGCTGGATATTTTAGTTCTGAAGGAAAAATGAAAACAATAGCATTTATGAAGAACCTGATCTTCAGACAGAAATTGAACTGTAAAAGAAAACAGAACAAAAGAATAGAAAAGGATCAAAACCAAAACAACGCCTAAGAAGGCAACTCCTATAATATACAGACAAAATGAAATTCATTCCAAATCAAAGTGAATATGAAATCATTTTCGAATATATAATAGTTTTAAGTCTGTCATTTCTAGTTTATTCGTTCTTTTAAAATAAACTTTGGTGGGTTAAAAATAAAAGTGGGTTTTGGTGGATCCTCAGGATCGTTTAGTACTGCTCCCGGTTCTGGAAGTGGATCGTCAGGATGGGCCAGGGCATTTTCAAACCCAGTCTGGTCCATCCTGAAGATCCACCAAAACTCACTTCCAGAATCGGGAGCAGTTCTGAACGATCCTGAGGATCCGCCAAAAACCAGCATTAAAATATCTGCGAAAATCGACCAAAATGAAAAAAATCTTAGATATCTCGCATAATGTAATATAATTGAAATTAATTTTTAGAAAATGCAAAAATCAATAGAAATTCAATAGAATTTTTTGCGTGATATTCCCCTAGACCAATACTTACAGTCACGGCAATCAAATTAAAAGTGGCAGCCAAATCTTAACGTTTTTTACTTCTTTATATATAAAACTCATTGTGTGTGTATGCGTGTGTGCGTTTGTCCTATTTTTTTTTATTTTCATGATTTTTTAATTCTTGGTTTTTATGGTGAATATGTCGTTAGAATTCTCGCGGCTTAAATAGCAGATTCACATATCAGTTTTGATTTTCGAATTAAATTTTCAAAAGTTTGAAGAAACAATTTTTTTAATTGTTTTTCGATACAACGTACATTAATGTGGATTGATGGCAATGAAATATTGGTTTTGGAACAGAGTTGAACATGGACACCATCTCGGTCCATCATGGTCATCTTAACACGACTTAACAACAATTCACATATGAAAAAAATGCGTGTAAAATCAACACCAGAAAAAGGAGCAACTTTCCCAGAAAATCGTCTTTGCTTTGAAAAAACAAGTATGGAACATACGAAATGATACAGACTAACATTCATAACTGAATTTTGCTTTTTACGTCAAATTGTATCGTCATCTCACTGAAATGCTTAGTTTTCTTATTCATCTTTCTTGATTGAAAAAAAAAACTAACTGAACGGAAGAGAACCCGAACTAGCGCCCAAGCCGAGCGAAGCGAGGCGAGGAAGCTAGTTGCAAATAAATATTTGAAGTTTTGTATAAATGAATCATGATAGTTTGGTTAATCAATCGATATAAATTGCCTAAAATTCCAGAAAAAAATAACTAAAGGAAAGGTCTCTAAATGAATTTTTCGCCAAAATTCAATCTTATTTGCAGATTGAGTATTTATATCTCTTTTTTCAATATTCTCATTGGAATAAATTTAATTATTTTTTTCGTTTTTGGAATCGACATAAGAATAAATTAAAAATACTCTCAATTGGAGGATATCCACTTTTCTTTTACGATTCTTCAAACAAAAAGATCTATAAATTGAATGTTGTTTGATATTCATCGAATGAGAATGTTAAAAAAAAGATACAAATATAAAATTCACCCAAACATTGTATTTAGAATATTTATTTGCAAAATGATAAAAACTAAAATTTCATTGTCTCTCATAGTTCATGGCTGCATAGTATTTTATCATAGTAAATATTTTTTTTTTATAGAAATGTAATCAGTTGGTGTAGTGCTAAAACTAACAATAAGAACTACAACTGCTAAAGAACGATATTTTTTTATTCATTCTAGAAAATTTGAATTGAACCAATTTCATAATATCAAGACAAAGAAGGACGCAAATGAGTGAATTCTCCCTTACAATATAAATGCGTAAATCAATTCCTTCATTAGCGACTTTCGGTATTCTTTGAAGAGCTGTACACTGCATCAAATGTCAGAAAAACAACTTGTTTGTTGTGCAAATTTTTCCACTTGCTACTAGGTATGAATCTGTGGGTGTCATTTGTATTCGCGTGAAACTACAGGCATTCCATTCATCAACGAAAAACAAGACTTTTTCTTAAATTGTAGCAGAAATGAAACTTATGTAAAATTCCGAATGAAACATTTTTACGAAAATTTTGCAGCAAAAAGAAATTTATTCAAAAATCAAAAAAGTTTTAAAAAGTAAGATTGACACCACCCAACAAATGATTGTCATTTCGTTTTTTCTTTCAATCATCATATATTCTGTGCAGTCGCAAGGGCACTTGAACCATTTCCTCACTGCTTTATGCGGCTGCAAAGATGTATATTCTTGTAATCTCCTCTATGTATTCAGATTGCTGAATTTAATACCAAGCGCTTAATATTCAGTGAAAAATGACTTCGAATGAATGAAAACTAGAAAAAAAACATGGCATTCGGAACTCTTTAGATTAAAATTGGCTTAGTGTCTGCTGACCTCGACTCTCTATGATTCGCTCTAAATTTACGCTTTGTTTTTCAAGTCTCTCTCTCTCTCTCTCTCTCTCTCTCTCTCTCTCTCTCTCTCTCTTTCAAATCGCAATTATTGGAAAATTTTCAGCTTCAAGACCTCAATTCGTCGGGATAAGTACTGAAATAGAGAGAAAATGCTAAAAAAAAATGCAGTTCAATTTGAGAAAAAAAAGCGGTCGTGTTCAGTGCGATTTGAGGAAAATAGAAGTAATCCAAAGGCGAGGAAGAAGCTGTGTAAAAATCTGACATCATTTTTACTTACCATTTTCACATACGAAATCGATTACAAGTTTTGCAAATGTGTGTGCAGTTTTCCATGTGTACCCTGGTAATAACAATAAACGGTGTGCCGTATGGCACTTAAATTTCAAATTGCTAGTAAATAAAAGAACAGTAAAATATGTTTGCTGTAGCCAGAAGTTTATTCATAATAATTAGCGCCATTTGCTATTTTCTCTATTGAATAACATTTACATTACATCAGAGCAAAATTTAACCATTCAAAAGGTAATTCATATGTATGTACAAGGAAGAGTTTGTGTTGGGTGTTAGTGAATCATATTCCAATCGGTATGTTGTAAATAATTGCAAAGCATTTTCTGTCATAACGTTTACGCATCAGCTCCATCAATTTTCTTTGGTCTATATCCAAAAATAGACGAACCAACTCGAACAATTGTGCTGCCCATTTCAATCTAAATAAAATATTCCGTAAAAAGGAGTTGTAAGTATTGTGTAAGTTCGGGCGAAAAAAAAAAACTTGGAAAACTTGGAAATTCAAAAGAAGAAGGAAAGAAACAAATAAAGCAGTTTATGTTTTTTGGTTTGAAATCTAGGTAAAATGACGAAAATAGAATAACCAAAAACTTTGAATACCGAAATACTTTATTTAATATGTTACGTCAGCTGATTTGTATTTCTATTTTTACATAGTGGTTTTTATAAATCACGCACACTCACATTTTTAGTGGTGTCTTCTATGTAGCATGCATAAAATTGCATATTGAAAGGCATTTGAAATGCTCATAGAGACGACCGATTTCATCATTTAATCATGATAATTGAGTGAGACAGTGCCATTAAAAATGTATCGGACCAAAAAAAAAAAAAAAAATAGTTGGTTTCTCTTCATTTATTTCGTAATTGTACGACTGACACCTAGACGAACGAGAACATATTTGACTGCCAAATGGAAGATAATGGTTTTTTTGAGAGAGCTAGCCTTGCGAAAATCATTTCAAATGAAAGTAGAAAAAGGTCAGCTTTCGGCAAGATTAGATGTTACACAGAGGGATGGACGTAGGAAAAAAAAAAAACAAAACCTATTCACTTTTGAGTTAAACTTTTTTGAATTTTTCATTCGGCAGTACTGATTTTCCTCGCATTCTTGTTCTGATTGAGGAATTTGTTTTTTCTTACATTTATGTGATGTGATGTATTCTTATAGCTGTTTTCACATTACACTTTCCAATGAATGAAACGCTAAAAAAGAATACGTCTGTGTTGATATTGGTTTTTCGGTATTTTTAACATCCTTGTGTAAACACACAACGCAACCGAAACAATTTCGTACGTTTTAACGAAAAGTCCGGGAAATAAACGAATTTTTAGATATTTTCAAACCATCGGACAGCCAAATTCATCAGATATTTTTCACAACAGAGAATGGATTGTTGTAAAATACATCAATCTATTTAATTTATATCAAGGAAAAAATTGATCCAGCAGTGAAGGTGATATTATTCGGCGGTAATTTTATGAAATAAGAAAAAAAAATTAACTCGTTATTTAAATCCGTTTAGATTTGATTGATGTGTTTCGTCAGCGCTTTATACGTTGACCGGAATAAACAAGCTGATAAATTATATAAATTTTATTATAAAAACATGGTTTTTCATCAGCTATATCTTATCTGGCAACGACACTATAGCTAACATAGTAAAATCGCTTGATTTCTAATCGTAAATAGGATTTATTTTGCATATTACCCACAAATTCATCGATTAATTAAATAATTGTTGATTCTGACATTTCCAACAGATTTATTCTATATAAATCCGCACAGTTGGTCGTAAGCTACTCTAAGTTTAACTCACCGCTTGTTCAAAGTCGTCTGACATGCCCATCGAAATGTGTACGTCTTCCGGTGATAAGTTGAACGTATCGCAAACATTTTTGTGGCAATCTAAGAGGCATACGAAATCTGGATTTGGACCAAGAGAATAGTCGTATCCAAATTTTCCAATTGTCATTACTCCTTTCGGCAACAAATGCTTGCAATTTTCAGTGATATGCCGATATAAGTCAGTCACAGCGCTTGGTTCAATACCGCTTTTTGCTGAAATCAAAAGATATCCAGTTAGAAATGTTCGAAATAGAACAAAAAGACAATTGGCATTTCAGTTTCGGATTAAAATCGGATAATTTGAATATTAACCTTCTTCTTGACTAGTATTCACTTGTACCAAGACTTTGAGTGGTTTATTTGGCGAAACGTTTCCCCATTTCTTATTTAATTCATTGGCTAATTTGATGCTGTCGAGGGTTTCTACCATGTCCAATCGTGGTACTTTTAACAGCTGAAAAACATCAATATGAAAATTTGAAGACAAAGTAAAATTTATGCTCATCGAAATGTGAAAAGGAGAAAAAGCATAAGCGCAAAGTAGACCTTTAGCGAATCAACCCAATGTGATGTTTACCTTATTAACTGAACTCGATTGTAAATGACCGATGAAATGCCAGCAAATATCCGGACACTGTGCGTTGATCAATTCACTTGTGCTCTTCTCCCACAGTTCTTTCACATAGTTTTCTCCAAAATGTCGTTGTCCAGCTGAATATGCATCGACAATCATTTCAATCGGCTTGGTTTTACTGACAGCCACCAATGATGGTTTTGCATTTCGAATATCCTGTTGTGAGTTAGTTGGAAAAGGGTATGAACAGCAGTAGGTAAGCTAAAGTTATCTTATCAAAAGCAAATCAAATGCACTGTGTCACTCTCTTACCGGGCTTCTCTTCGAATATGCCTGTTCGACTCGTTCCAGAATGTGCTTAATACCCAATTTAACGTCAACGTTTGCCATGATGCGATTTATCATTTGATGATTGCAAAACCAAAAATCTACTCCAATTTTGTGCCCAAAGACTTTTTCTTTTAGGATTTGTGTTGATATTGTTATCAAAAACTGATTTTAATTGATTTTATGTGCGCGAGTGTCACATTTACTCAAATCAAAAATTGATATTGTGCTGCATACTTATAGCGTAAGTATAGGAAAAGAATTGACTTAGCAATAAGCTTTTGCATGATTTAAGGTTGAACACATAGATGGCGTACGAATATTCGAATTAATTTCGAGATTTTCCTCGTTTCATACACGAGGAAAATGTTTCAATGGAGCTGCATCAATTGGTTGATATTAGACTAAATAGTTGGTTAAATAGTACAGCACGAGATTTTCCTCCCATTTTTTTTACTGTGTCCCAAATTTCGGTAGCTAGCGAGCATGCGATTGATCGTTGTCAGCGGTGGTTATGAACATGAAGCCGCTTACAGCAAGGACTACTTTCGTCTCTACCAGAATAATCAGATGGCTTCTCGTTCGCAACTGAGGATAAATCATCTCATTTTGATTCTTCACACTTCTGCTTTATTCACTCGTGTGTTACCGTACTCCTCATTTCGCTGCCACTTACAATAGTTGGCCGGCTGCTCGAGTCAATTATCATCGAAATCTTTTTTAACGTCGCAAAAAAGTAGCCGTTTCTTTTCTTTGAGTTTATCTTAGGTACAAAACAAAATTTGTCATGAGCACGCAAACGTTGATTCTGACTAACGTTGATATTCCTTGAATCGAACAGATTGAATCAAAATTCTATAGTTTATGACATGAGATATTTTGATTTGTGCAAGCCATCTCAATCACCATTGGGTAATTAATTTCATCTCTATTGACAATATCAACTGCTATTGTATTGGCTGCTCGTTGTTGTTGTTGTTGTTGTTGTTATTTTTTCTCTTTGTTTACAATTCGGGGCACAATGCGTGTAAAAATAGAGAGATAGCGCCAACCGAATCGAAAAGAAAAAGTCAATAAAAATTTAAAAAAGCAAGCAGCGGCATTCGGAAAATAAAAATTTGTCTCTTTATTATATGCTACAACAAAAGAACAATAAAGAATTTATATATCGAATCTCTACGAAACAAATGAACAATTGTTTTCGGTTTATTGGGAATGAGTATAACATATATGAGTAGAATGCGCACACACAGTGCATGATTGTTCAGTTTTGGGTTTCAGAAAGAAAAATATCGATTCTCATCACCAGAAAAATAAAATTTCGCTGTGCATCGATGGCAATTAAATTTAATGATAAATTACTATGTATTCTGCGAAAACATGAATTTTCTACCTATGCGCCGTTTTTCTTTGCGAAATGCTGTTTTTTTTTTTCTTCAAAGGTAAACGATAAATGTGAAATAATGCATTTCAAACGACACACAAATTGATTTATAAAGATTTTGGTTGTCGTATGTCTGTAGATCTTTTGCAATACATTTTCCTTAACTTTTTTTTTGTCGTTGCTGCTGCTGCTGCTGTAAACCTGATGAAATAAAAATATAGTACGAAAATAATAAAAAAAAGGACATGGGCATTTGTTGTTCTTGACCTGAAAATCAGTGTTTTTTTTTCTCACTCTCCTCTCCCTCTCTCCGTGTGTACGATGTGTGTGAGTGGTTGGCAACACAGGACAAAAGGAACGTGTAAATTCTTTTTTTTGCACAATAGAAACCTGAATAGCAAAGTCGAGTATGTTTCGATCAAAACGAAACACCAACAATATAATATCTCTCTCGAACATCAATAGAAAAATAATAGAACGCATTAACAATGGAACCTTTTCAAGATGTAACAACTTTTGCCCAGATTGAAAGCAAGCAGCAAACTTGAATACAAAACAAAAAATAGCAGCACGTTGTTTTGTTTATTATGTGAAACAAAATAGAGATATTATTTGGTCCTTTTATTCTTGAATAGTGGTCAATTTTAACACTTATTTTAACTGTTTAACGAGCATTTTCAGAAGAACTGTCAACTGTGTGTGTTTTGGGATATATACTTCAAATGGACTTCCATACACAATAGGCCATTTTCTCAATTCAATTAATATTAAGTGAATAGAATTGGATTGGCATGATGAACTTTACCGATAGATAGATAGATATACTTACGGTTGATGTAGAGAGCGAACAAGAGGTAGCCGGGGCAAGTATCAGTATCAAGGGAAAAAGTAGAAAGAGAAACATATCTATGTATCGAAATACACAAAATAAATATACGCGCTTAGAACACGAAGAATGTGAGTAAATAAAAGTCGTTTACCGTTCATAGCACGAGCACTCCACAAAGTCAATTTTCTGCAAACAATAGAAACAATCAACGGATAATAAATGAAATGATAGAATGAAAATTCGGTATTAGGATTTATTCACACTATTCATTAAATTGACTTTAAATTGGAATTGTATGGAATTGCTTTGCTTTTCTATTGCCATTTGAGTGTGCTGCGTTTGCTCGCAATTGAGATCGGTTTTTGAAAATTCGTCGGCGATATCTTTAGAATGTCTTTTTATTCGCCAATTAATCGCACTCCTCCGTCATTTTCATTCTTTTTGCCGTTGTTTATTCTTGAGCCAAATGGATGAAATTTTCAGTCGATTATCTTTCTCTTTTTTCTTTCTTGTCTACGCTTTTATTCTATCGCTTGATAAACGACCTTCGGCACATGTATTTTCATTTCAAATAATTTGTATTGATGGATTCCGGTGAACAACATGATGTTCGATGGTATTTTATTTTTTACTTTGAAACCAATTAGGCATCGCTTTTAGTGCACTCATTTTTCATACATCTATGATATTTCGTTTTAATTCGAACACATCATCACTTGTGCAGTTAAACAAACAACCGTCATTACCGAATATATCACATCTAACGAATTTTCACTCGTACACGTAATTTTGATTTCTGTTCTTTTTTTCTCGTTTCATATTTGCCATCCGTGTATAGCGCGTTGATCATCGACGATGATTGATTAGATCTAATTGAACGTGTAAAGCGTCACCCAATTAATTCTCAAGCAATTTTCAATACATTTTCTTCAATGCATCGCCTTCAAACGGCAACAAATTGCTTATTTTTCAACACTTACGTAAATAAGTAGAATCCTGTCGATAATTAATCTCTTTTTTTTTTTTTGACTCTTCGAAGAAAATGAAAAGCATTAGCAGCCGCTTTAGTCGACGACCAAATAAAAAGAGACAGAGGTGAAGATTGAAAAATTAGAAGCAACGAATCGTATCGCTTGTTTGCTCAATGATGTACCAATCAAAAAATTAATCGTTACACAATTTCCACCATTTATAATTCAAGTAAATGGATTCCTTAAATGGGATCGAAGAGGAAGAGGGACAGAAAGTGAGCAAGAGAGAGAGAGAGAGAGAGAGTCATCGGCAAGCGATGAAAAGCATATTGCATGCAATGAACTGGCAAAACCAAACCCTAATTCTCATATGCTATCAATTTCGAGGCAAATGGATTGTAAAAATTGCATCTATTCATAATAGAATCCCAGTCAACCAGACAGATTGCCATATATGCTGTGCAATGAACCAACATTTTTGAACGAACCATCGAATGAATGCAGACGAAATGCATTTTACCGAAAGACAAATAAAAAGCAGTAGAAAATTTGGTTCGACCAATGCCGAAAACGGAAAACGCTAACGACAGATCATAAACAATCAAAATAAATAAAGCACACACAGACGCGTCTGTTTCACACAAAACCGATATATTATACGCATTATTTCTATTTGAATTCATGAGCTGAAAGAATGTAAGTGAAAAAAAAGATGTTAAAATTAGTCATCTGTTGGTAAAAATGATTGGTGGCTTTTGTAAAAGTTTGTTGATATTTTATTGTATTGTATTTGTTTGCTACCAAAAGCCATTCCCTTTGGTTTGGATAGGCACATACACACACACACACACACACGCGGACGCACATACAGACACAAACAGCCCGAGCGCAGAAAAAAGTATTCAATGGTTGTGGCATATCGGTGTCGATTTCGATATCACAGAACCATAACGGTTCTGTTGAAATTAACATTCTTTATTTTATGGGTTATGCCTTCTGATTTTAACATCATCAAATTGTATTTGAAGACTGTTTACGCGCTGGTCCATTGTAATATGCATGATATGTGTGTGAGTGCTGTTGCACAAAGGTGACATATTTCGATTTCGATTTAGCCGTTGCATTCGCATTCACAAACACAAAACGCGCATTTTTCTTTTGTTATATACCCTCCCAACCGCAGTTTGTGTGTGTGTTAACATGTTCATCGCACTCACTTATTTACTTCGTTTGGCACATAATTTGCTGAATATGATATCGAGTTAATGAGCTTGCCGCAATCGTTTAAAAAGAATAATTCGAGCTAAGCCAATAAAAGATGGAACAATGTCACACTCAATTCTCTTCCCATCTCTCATATATGTTTTTACTGTTCTTTTTTTTTCGCATGTCCCCCGTTTGTAATGCTTCCCCGATGAATTTTCGAAATGGCAACAGCTGCACACTCAGATTCATTTGTTATGAATTTCAGGAGATGTAGCATTGATTATGATGTCATTTTTTCCCATCTGGGCCTAATGAAAACAGTTGAAACCCATTTCAATTGAGATCAAAAACGATTCCGTTTTTTTTTCCTTCTCACTTATATTAAAATACATTAGTTGATAGGCAACGCAGATTAGAAAGACTTTCATTTACATTCTATTGATTTTTTTCTCTTAAACTGAAACAAAATAAAACGGAATTGTTACGTTAAAAAATAAAAATAAAAAACCGTTTCCAATTAGCATTTTAAAGCGTTTTTTAGCACAACAAATTGACGAATGTGCAAAAGAGGAACGAAAAAAGAACACATGAAAAATTCCAAATTTACAACGAAGACAACGCGCTTTACAAGCCCAAGTAATTACCTTGAGAGAACGTTGCAAGAGTGAACGAAAAGAAAGAAAAATATAAAAACTGTCGTTCATGCATATTTTAAGCACAGCCCCGATCAATTCATACTATATATATATATATGCTATATACAGGATTCGCCTGTGCAATTTATGGAATCGAAACTCAAATTATATGTATGCAATTGCTTCATTTATCATTTACTGTTTTTAATTATTTCGCCGGAGTGAAACCAGATTAAGCTAAACAAATGACCCGGCAAATGTCTCAATTTCCATTTTTCGCCGTGCGGTGTGTTCGGTGTCCGTTGTATGTGTTTGTTTGTTATTTTTTTCATTCGCCATGTTGTGTCTGTGGAGATTCACAGCATTCGACATAAAACAGCATGTTGCTCAAGAATGCGCGTGCACTGTGATTTTTCGCAATTGGTTGTTGTTCGCGAGAAAATATGGCACCATAAAGCGACGAGCCCAAAAGTGCTATTTGGCTATTTGTATTTGCATTTTATTAATGAGACACATATCATCACGTTTGGAGCGCGGCGCTGTTGTTGTTGTTGTTGTTATTATGAATCCCCGTGCCATTGTCCATATTTTTACTCGAAACTCTCAGCCCAACTCTTTTCACCGTTTCGCAATTGCGTTCATGCACACGCTCGTGCTGTCCCGCTCTCTCTCTCTCTATCTCGCTATACCATTCTCCTGACACTCGTTGCAATTATATATCATGTTATGTTATTGGTGCATTTTCCTACGTGTATTTGTGATTTCATTACACGTCGCTCATACTTGGCTCCCTCTTCTCTCTCTCTATCTCCACTATGTGAGAGAGGAAAAAAAAAAAAAAAAAAAAAACTATAACGCAATAATTATGTGTTGGCATTTCGGTCGTGTATATTTCTATACTTTTTTTTTACCATTTCCGTTGACTTCATTAAATCAAATAGGCGTCTTTCTATTGTACACATTTGCAATATACACATCTCATTCTTGGCCGAGAACGCGCGCGATACTGACTCTAGCTCAAATGCATGGAAAGGAACAAACCAAACAAAAAAAAAAACATCTAAACCATGTAAGTACATATGAGCTGATGCAATTCTGCTCTTCTTCAAATTATGATTTTAGTTTACATTTTCATTGAGGCAATCCAAACCATCTACACATTTGTATCGTAAAATTAGCGCACACCTAATCCCCATCTTTCATATTGTCCAATTCATCCATACATAACTTGTTTTCCATTTCTTTTGAGTCATTGCACAGTTTTTGTGCGTTTAGTTGGATAAAGCCTAAATGCCATTCTTTTGCCATATTATTTAAGACTAAAATAAAAGAAAATTATGATTTCTTTATCCTTCGTGATGGTGAAAAATAACAATAATGATGCGGTTTGGCGCTTTAACATTTTCATTCGTTAATTACACTGCGTTTTCATCGAGCCATATATTTTCGAGCTGCAATCGATTTGGGGCTTAAAAGCTGAATACTGTTTCGTCGTTGTTGTTACTGCTTTTTTTTCCTCTTTGTAGAAACATCATTCGTAATGATTTGCGTTGCTAAACGGATAAAAATGGGTTCTGAAGAGATCAATTGAATGCGAACAAAACGAAACAGCAACAACAACTCACAAAGAGATAAACCAAAAATAAAACATTCATTTTAGTTTCCATATTTCCGTGTGTGCAAAATCGTTCAATGTTTCTTATTTTTTCCAATTTCTTCTGGTTGCGTCTTGAAAATTATTCCATTGTGAGTTAAATTTATTCTCCTGTTAACATAGGTGCCAATGTTTAACTAAGTACTAGTGTATTTATATATATTTTATGGCGTTAACCCGCCTTGTTAAACAAATGAATTTATTGCTATAACACGCCCAATGGTTTGGTGGTTTATTTTCTTCATTTGTATATATGTGTGTATAATTCGTGTGTTTGCGTTTCGTGCATTCGTTTTGTGCCTTTGTTTTTCTGTGTTTTGTTTCCATTTTCACTTCTCGTTTGCTTGATTTGTGTTTTTTCTAGTGCTCACATTCGCACTCGCTTGCCCAAGCTGGCAGACTGTTGCAGCAGCAGCAGCATGAAGAAGAATATGGTATTGCCATGCTGCGCTCAAATTTCAACGGCGATCAAAAGATTGATCGCTAACCGATCCTTGATATCGACTTAATTATACAATAAGATCATAATTTGTTGGCATCGTCGACTATAATAAAAGTATATATATATATATATATATATGTATGCACCTATATAGTATGATATCAATTGGTGAAATTCGTTTAAAACGTATGAGAATGATTCAATCGATTTTCCAATTTCCACTGAAAATAATCCATTAATTTCAAGCCATATTTTTTTGACATGTTTACATTTGCACTCGCAATTTTTCACCCGAACAATGTATCATTGTGAAATTTAATCCGGCGGATAAAAATCAACGTATAACAATCTGAGTCATTTCCCTTTCGGAATTATAACATTAAAATATAAGCTCAATGAAAAAGATATTTGCTTAAAATTTCCAAAACTCAGTGGAAAAAAAAACAAGCAGAAAAAGAAGAAGAAGCATTTGTGCACAAAGACAATCAACTCTCACGCACAACGGCAGCAAATGGCATCAGATCAGAAACCAAATCACCCCATCCCTTGTTCGTGCACGCCGCTCAAGTACACATAGAACCACACGCTCGAATAACCCGTCACATTTTACTTAGTCAACAGTTTGGTCTGGCTGTATGATGATGACTGGAAAATGTCATTGGTGGACGGAGCGATATAAAATAAAATGAGCAAACACCATTTAATAACATAATACGCATTTTATTTTCGGGGTTCCGATTTTTCGGAAAGTTCTTCCCTTTTTTCCATAATAAATGTAGTTTGAAGTCCCAGCAAAGTTGTTTATCTGACAAATAGTATGTCGTTGTTCGTTTAGGGCAAGTCTTTTGCTCTTTTTCTCTCTCTCTCTCTCTCTCTCTCTCTCTCTCTCCCTCTCGTTCCCATTCGTTCGTGTACTATTTGTGCCCTCGTGCAATTCGCTTCGGCGAGAGCTGCATTAATAGCAGAAAACTCTGCCAAACGTGAAATGCTACGCTAGCGTTTAATGACTGCACCAGCAAAAAGAGATGAAAATACATTTCGACCTAATCGTTAGCTATTATTCGCTTGTTAGACGATTACGTATCATTTATTCACTTATCTCTGAGGGGTTGCTTATAATAGGACAATCTAGAGAATGAGAAGCATAACGCAGAAGGGAGAGTGAGTGAGTAGAAGAAATGAAAACACCATGTCAGCCATTTAGAAAATATAGCTACCATCTCCATCTTCGTGCCCTCATTGCAATTTAGAAGCAGCGTACAGCGTACACAGAAGCAATCGACTGACATAACAATACCAAGTTGCCTGCAATAAAATTATAATAAACATAATACAATTGGCTTGTTAAAATTTGTGAATCTCATTGCGATTGTAATTAATATTGTATTCATAGATGTTTCATTGTTCATATTGGCTATGTTTCGTCGTTTATTTTTGCGTTGTCGGGGGGTAGCCATACGAAACCAACGTCGACCAATGTTGTATGCAACCGACGATTGACTCACAAACACCAAATGATTGCGCATTATTTCGCCAAATTAATACCTATTCGATCGAGATGTTGTAAGTGAGCAATAAATAAATCGAAAGAACCGCATATACAATTCTATTTTTTTTTTTCTCGCTTTTCTCACTCATACTCTTCCTCGAATTGGGTGGAATAAAAAAGAAACTGGGGCGACCTAGAATATAACATGGAAAATTAGTTCTCCATTTCGAGCAAGTAATAATAAATCAAACATAATTTGTTACCAATACAAAATGTGGCAAACCGTCGAAAATCATAAAATTAATTAATGTGAGCATTCCAAGTTATGTAAGTTGGAATTAAGTTGGAGCTGTTCTTAGTAGCAGTAGCAGAAAAGCTGTATAAATCGTTTTAAAGTCGATTAAACCGCATGATTTAGGATGGAATCGCCTTTTTTTGTTTGCTAAGACGAATGTTTTACTGAGATTTCATGCTAGTGTATTTTCAATTCGGAAAATATATGATTCTGTAAAATCTAAATATTTTGAAAGCAAAAACGCCATCACTGTAGGGTTTAAGAAGGATTTGTGAGCGTGTTTTTTTTTTTTCAACTCGAAGGGAGTCAATCCAAGCGTTAAGAAAAGCATTAAAGTCAAATGAAAACAATATTGGATTTAATTTGACATGAAACAGATATTTTTATTGGTTGATTTTTAGATACATGTTTTCATATGAAGCTTCAATGAAATATTTAGAATAGAAAAAAAAGAAGAATATCGGCAGTTTTGTTATTCATTTTGAAGATAGTCGCGATTTTTTTTGGTTCCTCATTCGTCGTCGAATTTGAAATCGGGGTTGAATTTATTGGCGTTGGTTGCGTTGTACGGTGCGATCGGTATGAACAATGTTGACTTGAACAATGTTCATGTTTGGTGTAAGGAATTGTTGTAAGCGATCAACACCTGAACGAGCCAAACGGTCAAATGGATAACCCATCGATCTTCTGTCTGGATACAGACGATCTTTGACTCCACAAAATGACGAGGCATCCGAGCAAGTTCCCACTAAATCTTGGTCAATTCGATCATCATTATAGTTCGAAATCATGACAAATAAATCGGCGGCAAGACCAGCTCCAGGCAATCCCTTCGGAATCAGCATATGCTGTGGCCAACCGCAACCACAGAAATTCTGAAAACAAAAAGTCGTTTGTCAACTCGCGAATCAACTATGAATGATGCTATTTCTTACGAATTGTTCCTCGCTTTGTGTACCGGCGCCTGGACGATTTGTATCCAAATCACGGAATGTACGCTCAAATGGAATTGTAACCGATGAATCGGTTGAACGGCGTCGGATCAGATTTGGACCAACGTTCACTGTTCAGTTGAAGAGGCATTTTAGCATTTCATATACAACAAAGTTTGGGGAAATTAAATTTTTTCGATATAACACTTACATGCGACGGTGAATTTATCCAATTCGGTCATCATGAGCCGTTGATCTCTGAACAACATTGGTGTGCCACGTTCGTCATTCCGTGGAGCCATGAAAATTCGACATGTTCCCATAGCTTGAGCGCCAGTGCCGTTGTTCACATTAATGTTGTATATGAACTCAGTATGTTGCAAATGAGTGAATCGAGCAAAGACATTTCCGCGAGGAACGAAGTCAAGACCACGTGACAAATCAATATCAGATTGTTGCCAGAACGTTTGGAAGGTATTAGCTGGCCCATTATCTGGTTGCACCTGAACACTTTCAACTCGAATGTTTGGATAGTCAAGTTGTTGAGTTGTGTACTATGGAGAAATTATTATACGATTTTTCAATTGGTTTCCATCGAGAACAATGCATCGATTTGAATTTAAACCGAACGCTTAAATGTTATCAATTAATTGAAACTTACTTGAGGCAAACGTTGTTTGTGTTCTTGGAACAAATCATCGATATATGCATGCCATCTGTAGAAGACTGGGTCTCTCATAGCAGTCGCACTATCACCCATCACTCCGAAACTTTCCAAGTGACGATGGTCCGGATCATGAGAGTAAGAGATGAACACATGGCCAAGATTGTGCAAATCACCGTAAAGATCGCGATTGACTGAAAGTGATGATGACTCCATGATATTACCCAAAAGATCAATGCCAGTGCGTTCATCCAATGGGATGCGATTGCCAGATGTGTCCATGACAAAGCCTTGGTGACAAGCCTCAACAAATCGGCTGGTCCATCGTTCCAAGTCACTTACGTCATATTTAACTTGATCTAATTCACGGTTCAAGTCGGCCAATCGAGTGTTGGCTGCACGAGATGGCCAAGCGCGTGACGCAACAAGCGAATCCATTTTCGGGAAATAGGCCTCAGTAATTGGCTCTCTGATGTTATTGAAACGTGTCACACGAGCCAAATTATTCGATAAACGTTCAAAGTTGTAACGGGCCACAATCTATTCAAAGAAGTTCAACATTTATTTGAAATTTTTTTTTTTTAGATTTTCAATTCACAATTTTTCAAGAACAGAAATCATTTAATGTCAAATAATAATTTGGATTTGACTGATTAATGTTTGAAGAAAAAAAATGCAACACTTTGATTCTAAAATGGTTCAAACCTGCTGATGCATATAATAGAAAAGTTCACCACGACGATCTTTACGAACGATAGCATCATTGGCCGCTTCGAAAGGATACACGAGATGCCAATGCCAGTGACTGGAATGAAAAAAGACAAATTAATAAATTCAATATTATCTTCATCTATAATGAAGTATTCTCATTTCAAAAAAAAAAACTTACTGCAAATTGATGCCAATGTCCTCTCTGAAGTACCACAAGCGATGCTCTGGTTCAAGATCAGATGCGGTGTAATCTTTGGGCACGATGATCGGCATACGCGATCCGTCCGGGACAACCGTCGCTTCTTCACGAATTTCACGGAACATCTTTGAGTCGACGTACTTTTCGGGGAATATTTCAGCAAACAATGGCAAATTCAGATCCTTTGTGTCCGGACGATGAAGCAGAGCAACGGACATTGCATAGTTGAACAAAACGGGATTCACACGATCTCTGGCGTACACGGCAACCGTTTGAAAATCATCGACACTCTTGAGTCCCAAGAAAATGTTGATAAGATGGGCGGCAATGCGTCGATGGCGTGGAATGAACAATGAGAATTGTTCCTTGCGATCCAACGACATTGGAACCTTCAAATTTGGAATGCTAATGTTGGCACGGACCGGAATGCGTTCTCCAGCATCTTCACCGAAACGTTCTTGAATCTCAGGGTTGCCCTTGTAACGATCACTCAAAAGGCTGTTTGGCACATCAAATTTGGCTCTATTCTTGCCTTTCGACATGAACACTGGTTCGAGTGGACGATCGAACAACAACAATAAGTTATGCTTGTTTGCCATTTTGATGAATGAATTTATTCGGGGAAAAAAAGGTTTTTAAAACAAAATAATTGTTTATTTGTTAAAACAAAACAAATTGAATTGTAATTGAAACAGTTGTAAATTGTTTGCTTTAGCTGAAACTTCTTCGAATGACTGAAGAAATGTGACTATGATCATTGCTTAGCAAGCTCGCATATTTATACAAGACGATATTCAAGCGAGAACACGAACAATCACTACGCTCGAATCGTGTAACCACAATTGTGGACAAAGTAAATATCAGCAATCTTAAACGGTTTTTTTTTTTCTCTTTTCAAATTAAAAGGAAATGGTGGTAAAATTCAAATTGTTTTCAATTGTGGTAAATTTCAAACTTTCCGTTTCGAAGCAATTCCTTGATCATTCGATACAAGAAACGTAAGATAAACGAAATTTATCGTATGACATTGACTTCGATAAAAAAAAATTCGGCACTCTTATCAAGCGACCAAATGTAATCTCAATCTTTTTTTTTCTCACACGCATTTAGTTCATCTTCAATCGTAAAGTCGGCGTTAATTTGTGATTTGTTTTACTGAATAGACCGACTTTCAGTTGATTGGACGCGCGTGGTTTGGGAAAGAACATGGAGGATGTTGGGCTTTGAGCACACAAATATCTCAAATGATGTATGTGTATTATTTTTTTTGGTCTCACATCTCCGCCTGGCAGCTTCGTTGTTTTGCCAGTGTGATTTGAGCTACAACACCGAGCTAAAAACACGGTCATCTCTCATAAACTCTCATCTGCATTTGGTATGGTTTTTGATGGTCGCAAAAATATTGTTTTATTGTTGCATTTATTGCACGTGCATTAAGGGGCAAATTGAACGAATGTTCTGACACGGCACACCGACTTGATATATCAACATTTATTAAACGGAATAAATTCAGAATGCGGCACACGCATAACGACAGTTGTTGAAATTATATTTGTTTAGTGATGCAATAAAAAGGGAAACGTGTTCAAGTTCTATTTACTTTTATTCAGTTTCGGAAAATACAAACATCCTCTTTCTCTATCTCACTCTCACACTCTCTCTCGCTCTATCTCAAGCATTCTCGCGATGGCTTGCAGCAGCATCATATCAGAGAGCGTACATGAGTTTTTATGAGTTTGGCCAGATTAAATTCTCTCATTTTTTCTGCAGTTAGTTGGTCTGCCACATTGGAATATAAATAATCGAGATTGAAGTTCTGTCTCTTCATGTTTCGCTCGATGCGTTCATTGTGATTGTATTTGTTATTGTTTTGAAAAGATCAAAGCCGCTGGCGAGTAAAACGGAGAAAAAAAACCGTTGTATTAATAACAAAAAAAAAATGAGAGCCATATAACACACAACTGTTGCTGTGCAATTGGGCCGATGATACAAACAAATCGATGATTTGACGGCAATTCCATTTGGTTATACTTTTATCTAATGAACTAGCATTCGATGTGGCCAATAATAAATTGCCATAAAAACCAACGATTTCTATGGCATTTCTACCAATGCGTTTGTCAAATCGATAATGGAAAAGTACATTTCATAGACGAGGAAAAAAAAACACTTAAAATTCGATTTGGTATTCTCTTGTTCTACTCAAACATAAAATTCATATGAAGAATTAGAATAATGTTAAGCCAAAAACTTAGCTTGAAGGAACTATAAAAAAAATTTCTTCAAATCGAAATTCCTTTTGACAGAATAGAGGGAGGATAGGGAAGATAAAACATAGCCAGAAAAGAAAAATGAAAAATTATGTTAAAAAAAAGAGAAAATTAGAACAGCGGAGAAAAACCATTTAAATAGTCTGCTGCCTAACATCTCGTGACACATATATCTTTCGCATAAGGACGTCGGCGACGACGGCAACGACAGCAACGACGACAATGTTGAAAACCCATAGCCGTAACAATACGCAATCGAACAGATTTTACACGCACATGTTCCACTGTTTATAATGTGAAGCGGTTACTAATTGCGTGAGGTCCGTTCTTACTCCAAAAAAAAAACCAAATGCACACTCCGGTAGGACTCTTAAGAACGCAGCAAGAAAATGGGAATGAGACAGAGAAAGTGGGATACCGAGTGAAAGAGAAAAGAAGTGAAATTTCTCGCCGTATAAATAAATAAATATAAAATAAAGCCATAAATGCCAATATACTTACTTCGATAGGACAGAAATGAAGCTGTGCGTCATTTGATTTTACAATTCAACCGCACACGGAATAACCACTTTCATTTCAGGGGAAAAAAGAGCAATAATTTTCTTCGTTGCATTCGTTTTACTCGATATGTAAATCAATTACATTTTCAAGTGGTGGAAACGGTATTGTCGCCACATAGACTTGTATTTTCAAGGCAATAAAAGGCGTACATATAGACCCGATGTAGGTAATGGTGTAGCGAACTATCTCATGAAAAAACATAACAATAAACGTTAATTTAATGGTTTGAAAAAGAGTCGAATTAAATGTTTTACAGCGTTTTTTTTTCCCTTCAGTTTTTCGTCTGGGAAAAACGTCTCAAGCACAAAATGAGTCTGCCACTTACAAGCAGAGCAAAAATAAAAACTACACATTTTTGATGTTGCACCGATAAATCTCCATTTATTGCCGCAACATAAGTGATTCTGGTGACATACATAGAACACACACGTGGAACCAAGATTGTCGGCGGCACTCGACCCATATGTATATACATATTATGTGGTGCAGCCTCCGCCAATCAATTACCAAAAGTCGATAAGTAGTTGAATCGTTTGAGAAAATTTATGTTATAACAAATGCAATGTCATTTGGATTGATCGCAGTGACGCGCAACAGGCACGCATGCGACCCAAAGGCAAAGTCGACTTTGGCTCGGCGCGCAATGATGCATGCGTTGGAGCGTTGATAAACGAAATAGGCCATTCATACAAACATACAATACACACACAATATATTGATCGGCAATTTTCAACAGCATTATGCGTTTTCAATCGAGAATTATCAACTGTGAAATTAGTTAATGCATGTTATAATTAACGTAAAAATCATAAAAGCATGTCTTCATCTCCGATTTCGTTTCAATATCCCATGTGTCCGAACCATATCGCGCATGCATCTATACTACAGATTTTCGCTAACGACTTAATTTTACGATGTATTCTCTCCGCCGTTCGGCGGCTATGTGATCGCTGAAACCACTGCCGATTGCTTTAGTAAGTAAAGTCAACCGAAGCTTATTGCATAAATTAATTTAGTTATCAGTTGTTTAAGCGTGATTCCCATTTTTTTTTTCTCCTCAACTGATTATATTGGGTTGTTCTCGTTATTGAAAACGGCTTCCTGTAGCTGGAGAACCAATTCGTCTGGTTTTGAGTTTACGCCGAATGAATCGTCTGTTAAAGTGATAGCGGCAAAGAGATGAGAGCGAAAAAAACCGAAATACTCTTGCAATGCGGTTTCGTTTTTTCTTCCTTCTTCTTCTTCCTTTGGTAATTCCGGTTGAACATTGTTTTATGTTGTGTATTTTTTTTTTTTTGGTTTATGTTTTCAGTTTTTCAATGGATAGTCGCATACATTTGCACATTTAATTTTTCTAAATTGAAATAAAACCACATAATTTTGTTAAACTCCTTCGTTTTTTGACCACATTTGATTCGCTTCTATTATTTGAACAATTTATGTATAGAAAAATATTGAGATTGGGAAAAGAAGTAAAATCGCTTCAAATTCTTTTTTTTTTTTATCACAAGACGAATGAGAAATAGTTAAACACAGCGATTTTCGTGCAGATAATCGTTGGATCTACACATATGATATAATTATATACGCGCACTCTCTATCGCATACAAATATGATCATTACAAACACATGCACGTGTAAACATGATAAGTGGGCAAGCGGTGGTCGACACACAGCCACAGCACCATTTAAAGAGAGAGAAAGAAAAAAAATCAAAGTCTCCGAAGTCAAGTATAAACAGAGCAAAAAGATCATCATCACCACCACCACCACCATCATCATCAATTTAGCCCAATACGGTTGACGACTCCGAACTGAGCGAAAAGGTAAAACGAAGAGAAACACCATAAAAATGTCAATTAAAAAGTCGTGCTTTAATATTTACGAGGACTTGGAGAGCTAAGTATCATATTACATGGTGTTTGTTTAAAGTGTGCAGACCAAGTGTAGGCTTAAAACTCGCAACATGTGCGATACTTGATTACAAACTAATATTGATATGCTTGGCAAAGGGAAAATAGCAAGTTTTAGGGAAAAAAAAACGTTGTAGTCTACGAACAATTGGATTCTAATCGATTCGAACGACTCTTGCGACGTCGTGTCTTTGAACAATATTTTACTTTAGTTCTAGAACTTTTTTCACTCTTTCTATTCGATGGTGAATAAAACAGAAACCACAATTAATAGAACAAAAATCGTTTAAAATATTCGTAGTGAAAGCTACTAGTAGAATTTCTGTTTTGTGGCTATCGAAAGAGAAAGATTTAAATTAGTTCAAGGAGAATATAATTATTTAATCTAGAAACAAAATAATTACTCTATGACAACATAGGTACATAATCACTGAAGCAACATAAACATTAGGAACGTGAGCAGCATATACAGTGTTCATTTGTACGAGTCGTTGATCCGAATTCTATCTTAGAATCTTTCTCTGTTTAGAATATGTAAATACTTAGGAGTTCGTATTGAAAGTGAAATAAAAAACACACAAACACCGAAACAATAACGAGAGCCATTAAGGTTTTGTCGTCGCATTCACAAAATGCTAATTTAAAATGCACGAAAACAAAGTTTTTCCTCTGATGTGTTTCATCTACACCAACATGCTATTATTCGTACCGGTCAAACGAACAAATTAAAAATAAATTTCGAAGTAATTTAATGAATTTTCTAAAAATAATTTCATTTATTATAAACTCGTCTAGATGCTTGTTACACTTGATCCTTGAATATGATAATTTTTCTGTATCGATTTTCATTATACCTACAATGTTCTTGTCTGCTTTCGTGTGCTTCTCATTCGACATGCCATGATATTATTACGTGCTCATTTTACTAATAATGCAATATTCCCTAATTAAAAATTTATATGAAATTTATACGTTTACAATCAACTCTCTATGCCAGAATTCCGTGAT